TAATGAAAATGGGGCTTTCAAACATGCTTAATAATATTCTTTTGTAGTTGGAGTTTCATGGGTTAGCTGGTAAATCTGGGGAAAAACCAGAAGGGATCTTGAATTCACCGGTACTTTCCCTATTGAATTAGCTTTAACTTGGTTACTTAGGGCATCCCTGGGGCAGAGTTGAGGAAATAGAGGCTGTTATTAACATAGCAGAACCTGGTGCAGTGAAGAAGTGATGTGGGAGGTAAGAGTGGGATACAGAAAGGAAGGCAGGAGAAGGGTCAGCCTGGCATATACTGTAACAGAGCCCGACCTAGGAGTTGAATGTCTGGATTCTCGTCATTCTAGGATGTGCTTTTTAGTGGTCTGCCTGGCTCTCTCAGAACATCCTGTGGTTGGCCCAGGAAAGTGTATTAATGCTGTGGTGGTTCTTCCTTTTTCCCTACTCCTTTCAGAACAGCAGAAGTGAGAACTCGGAAGATCAGATTCATCAGGCCACCTGCTGCTGGGAGTGCTCTGATGTTATTGTGGCCCCCATCAGCAAGCAGAATTGTTACACACTCAGAATGAAAAGCAGCCTTTCCTCTTCTTGGGAATAGGCTTTGATGGGAAAATAAGGACACCTTTCTCCTCCAGCGGGAGTGGCTGTCTGTACTCAGGGCAGGGAAGGCCCCAGTCAGCCAGCCAACTCATGTACCCTTGTCTCTAGACCTAGAAGCTCTTGTCTCTGCTGCTGATCTTCCCCTCCTTCCATCCTGCCCTGGGATTGAAATGTCCTTCCCTCCCATGGTGGGCACCTTCTTGTCCTTTCCTTGTTTAAGATGTTGAATGAAAAAAACCTTTGCTTGCTGTTTAATATTCTTCCTTTTTCCTTAAAAAAAAAATGAAATGAACTCATTCTATTCAGCTTACCAACTCCTCTGGGTTCCCTTTAGATTCCCTACCATGTCACTCCCAGATGAACATGAATGTACCAGCCAGCTCTTTCCTCACCCAGGGTCCTCATAGGAACTGGCCTTTCTTTGGTTTTGTTGGTTTTTCTTCTTCTTCTTCCTGTTGTATGTTTTTTTAATTCTAACTCTTCCCTAACCCCATAAACACATAGCTCTCAGCAGAGTATAGCATTGAGAAAGGCCCAGGGTTGATAGAAGTGCCCTACCTTCCATTTTCAGCTTTTAGGGATTTGGATCCCGCTATTTGCTGTGATGGGTTTTAGTTTAGATAGGTGCAATTTCTCTACTTTTGGAGAGAGGCAATAGATCAGGTGCTCTTGGGAGTGGGGAGGGTAGAGTATCCTCCCTCTTCTCCCATAACCATTCTTAGGGCTATCTCTTCATAGTGCCTAGGGCAAATCAATGCAATGAATCGGGGAAGAACTGGAGGCCCTTAGGCCTCCTTCCTCCCACCCCCATTTGCTGCAGACCAATGCCTCCCTCCAGGCAACTGCTTCTGAGGGTCACATTCTCAAGTAGCTCCCATCCACTTGCCCCTTAAACCTGTGTGCAATGTTCCCTGCACGTTTTACTTGATTCCTTTCACACTTTGATAGCCTCCCTTTCAATTTAAAAAAAAAAAAGTGGCAAAGCAGCCAAGTTCAAGGCCAAAAGGTAACCAGGTGCTTCTTGGGCTTAGGGCCACTTAACCCATCTGCCTCCTCAGAAGACTTCATCGCAGCAGTTTCCAGAGGCCACTTGGCTGCTACCCCTAACCTACTACAGAACCCAAGTGTAGTGGCCATTTCACCTCAGCATAGTCACTGTTTATCTAGTCTCTTCTGCTTTCTAGCAACTTGGCTTGGTCATTGCAAGTCATCTTGGCCATGGGCTCAATCAAAAAGTATACATGGAGAGAGGGGGTGGGACTCAGCTATTTCCTTCCTTCTTGACTTAGTTAAGAAAAACCCCTCTGTTAGAAGCTAACTGGTGGTTGCCCCTTTTTTAGGCTATTTTCTTGTTGCCTTGAGCCCAAGGGCCACGTGACCAGTCTCCCAGACCTTATAACACTGTGATGGTTATGTCTATTGAACCATGTGTTTTTCTCTGGGTTTTTTTTTCTTTTTTTGTTGTTTTGAGGAGTGTTTATTTGTGATCTACATTGTGACTTCCTGATGATAAATTTTAGATGGGAAATCTGACTACCTTGATTGTTTTGCATTAGTGTTAACTGGGGATGGGAAGGGATTCATAGACTCATGGATTTAGAGTTGGCAGGGATCTCAGTCTGATCCCTCATTTAATTACAGATGAAGTAAGGGGTTCAGAGATTAAGTGCCACATGTGTCAGAAATGGGGATTTGAACTTGGGCCCTTTAACTCTGGAACTGTCCCTCTTTCCACTGCAGTGGAAAGGCAGGATACTGCCTTCTGGTAACTGAATTGGACTAGGTTCTTAAAGCAACATCCAGATACTTAGTTTTTGAATGTGGGGAGAGAAATAAACATTTTTCACAGGCCTCAGGGAAATCAAGTGAGGAAGTCTGTTCACGCTATGTATGGGCTCCTGACTCAGCCTTTCCTCTGACCATGCTGCTACCTCCTGGGATGCCAGTGTTGTGGACAGATGTGATAGGGAGATAGAGCTGCCACGAGACTCCCCAGGGCTTCAGGGTAGAGGGTAGGAGTCAGTTTTGTGGGTCCCTAGTGTACCCAATGATGACTCTGGCCAGTGTCTCGAATGCTTCTTTGGGCGATTGGTCACCAGGTGGCAGTACAGCTGCCTTGTCCTCTTTAAGTCTGGGTTGGGATAATCTCACCTTCAGAGGTAAAGGAGGAGGGCTTTCTTTTTTTCCATCCACTTAACTCTAATTATATTCTTAATGCAGATTGAAAGGAGGGGAAATGGGTAACCCTATCATCTGGTGCAGCTCACTGTCGCCTATAGAAAATTAACATTCTGTGTGGGTACAGTAGGATGCTTTAGAGTGGGTACCTTGGAATGGAACTGGCATCACCTGGACCCAGCTGTGGGGCTACATCCCCAGACTGAAACTTCTCCCTGATTTCTAACTGTAAAATCAAGTGATGTGAACCTTCTCAGCTCTGCCCCCTGTCGAGCAACCCCAAGCTTCACTCTTTTCCTTTTTGACTCGCTGTGGGATGGACCATGTGTTGTATTAGGGGGTGAGGAGAGCATTTCAGGATAACAGCCATGCTTAAGGAGGAATGACTGTGAGGTGCTTCCACACCCCTCTTTTGCTTTATCAGCCCTTTAGTTAGAGCCTATTTCTCTGTTGCCTTGGTAACTAGCTTGGCAAGAAGAAACCCAAGCTCAGCAAAGCCCCTAGCTTTCAGCACCTTCCGAGTGTGGTGTCTCAGCAAAAAGAATTGAGGGGATTTGTGGATGGTCAGTTAGCCTTAGGTAATCATGTCCAAACTCCTTTGGGAAATCTAAGGGCTGAGCCTTTAGGTATGGTAATTTGGGGATTTGGCATATCCTAGGAATGTACCTCCTTGAAACCATTTTGTCACTACTATCAAGTGAGGGGCAGGCTGCCCATTTGGGCTAGGCTATTCCTAGAGTTAGGAGTAAGAGGGATCCATTTTCTCCAGGTTATAGAATTGTCCTATTCTCCAGGCTCTCTGCCTTTCCTAAACCAATTTCTATCCCTATCCTTTGCCCTCCGCAGCTGACAGCCCCAAATCCTGCCCGGGGACGTTGTCAAGGCAACTAGATTAATCTGGTAACAGCCTCATGTGAAGGGAGGAGCTCTCCCTCACTTTGCTTACACAGAGCTGCTGCCTCCAGAGCTTCAGCCCACTCCAGCTGCCCCATTGCAGCCATTGTCCTTGGGTGTTCTGGTGTCCTATGGAAGGGATCCAGGAGACCAACCTGCACATTGCTGCTGGAGCTCCTTGACCACAGATGCTCACTTCTACTCTCCTCCCTCAAAAATTCACTTAACACATGGTTGTGCATGACTGTGTTTGTGTGAACACATTCTACCACCACTCCTTGCTTTTCCCCAGCCCCACCCTAGACCATGGCACAGTAAACAGGGGTGGGGCGTTGCCTCTCCCACAGAGCACAACCTAGGAATGCCCATCCCCACACTTTACCCTGTGCACAACCCAAGTCTACCGTTCATAATTTACCTTAGGGGCAGAATTTCAGTTTGGGCATCAGGTCTCTAGTGTGTAGAAGACTTATGGAACCAATCAGAGTGCAAGACTGCAGTGTCCAGACAGCCCTTTCTGCCTGATAACTAATGGGTGTTCCAAATCCTGTGCCCTCAGCTGCTGTTGCCAGCTACAGACAGGTAACTCTTGAATACTCACCGATATTCGGGATCCCAGCTTCTGTTGCCAGCTGGGCCCAGGTGCCTTTGAGCTGTTGGTCTGTTCCACCTGGCTGCTGCTGCTCCTTACCCAGCCCAACCTGCCAAAACTTGTTCATCTGCTCATACCTGCCCTAGAGAGGGCAACCAGGCACTACCTTATTGTGTCCTGTCAGGCTTATGAGAGCAAGCAGGCACCACCCCACTGTACTGCTGCTGGACAGCACCAACATAGCCAAGAGATTATTGCACAGAGATCTCAGGAGGGTGTGGAGTGGTGATAGAACCTGCCCATGCCATTTTTCCTAAGGTGCATACTCTTGGAAGTAGAAAATAGTGACGGAGACGATAATATCCAGTCAGTTATCTGCTCTGGACGGATAGAGTGAGACGAGAGTTGGATAGATGTCTGCCACAGATTACCCTTGAAATGAAGTCTGACTAGGCTCACGGGTCAAGGTTGGGAAAGAGACAAATTCTGGCCTCTGTAGTGTACCTTGCCACCCCCACTCCATTTATTTCTGAACATCTTTTCTTGTCCGCATTGACCCCGCTTCAGTCCCAGATCTCTCCTAGGGGCTACATCTTGGCCCCGCGCAGCCCGTGGGCGGGTCCAAGGATGGGGGCCGAACCTGGGAGGGAACAGGGGTGGGTCTCTGCCCGAAGGGGCGTGGCCTCAACTCTGCCACCTTCCCGGGGGCCGGGAGCGCAGCCGTCGCCGCCTCCTCTTTGGTGTCCTCGGCTCTTGCTATCCGCCTGCCGCCTCTGCTGCAACAGCCGGGCCCCGGGCCCATGAGCTAAGCGGCACCGGATCTGCACCCGGGCCACCCGCCTGGGCCCGACACCGTTTGAAGAGGCATGGGGGGCTGCTGAGAGCTTGTCTCTCTTCCTGCTGGCATCTCCTGGGGGCACTGGACATTGGATTCAAGCCAGCTGCCAACCAGCCGCGGGTACTACTACTCCCTGGTCTCGGCGCCTGACACAACCCTTCGATCTGCCCTATTTCGGTTCTAAGCATCCCTGCGCTACCCCCCGCCCGTGGCCCGGACACCTGGGTCCTCCCGGCGGTCCCGGCGGGGGCGGGGGGGTTGGGGTATGAAGCCGCTGGAAAAATTTTTGAAGAAGCAGACGTCGCAGCTGGCTGGGCGGGCTGTAGGAACAGGACCCGGAGGGGGTACTGGGGGGTGTGGCGGACCTGGGGGCGGAGGGGGAGGAGGGCCTGCGGGAGGTAGTGGCCCAGTGGGGGGACCCCGACAGCTGCAGAGACGCCAAAGTGTATCTCGCTTGCTGCTCCCTTCTTTTCTCCGGGAACCCCCGGCCGAACCCGAGCTGGAGCCGCCTACGGAGGAGGAAGAGGGAGAACCTGGCAGGACCGCTGGGGAGCCAGTTGGAGGGGCACCCTGCTGGTTGCAGCTGGATGAAGCACCGGCGCCCGGCCCACTTGGAGTAGGGGGGGCCTCTTCGCTCCCCTTCCTCCTACTCATCGGACGAGCTGTCCCCAGGGGAGCCCCTCACTCCACCTCCCTGGCTGCCCCTGGGGGCCCTCGACCAGCCGGAGCATCTACTGAACCGAATCCTAGAGCGGCTGGCTGGAGGGGCTCCAAGGGACAGTGGGACCTCAGGTAAGCAACTGGCCAAGGCTGCTGCACCAGTCCTGAGGCAGGAGAAAAGAAGGGAGAATGTGTGTGCTTCTCTTCTTTGGCTGGGGGTGGAGGGTGGGGGGGGGAGGTGAGGAACATCCGTAGTGAGAATGAAGCCTCAGGATGGATCATGAATGGGGGTATGAGGGTATAGGTTACTATAGGCATGTTGTGTCTTCTGGGAGGCTTGTGTTAATAGGAAGATTGTATAGTGTGTTCCTGGACAAGAGAAGTTGGCATGCCTCTACCTGTATCCCTTCACGAATGGTCTACTCCAGTTATTAAAGATAAGGGTCTGATACCATCCTACCTGGCTATCACCCCAATGCCATTCAGAATTTAGCCTTCCTCTTCCACTGAGGCATTCCATCTGCAGAGCCTTAGGAGTCCTTGATTTTGAGTCACCCCCACCCCCACCCCAGAGCTAGGGCCTAGCATCTAAAAATGCCGTTTAGGATGGGACTTAGTGAGAATCAGGCCAATGCAACCCCCAGAGGAGAAAATAAAGACCCCCTTGAAAGTGAACTTCACAGAAGAATTCATAGCTCAGTCTAGCAATTCCCAAAACTGATGCCTAGGGCTGTGCCTTTGGATGGTCACTGTCAGATGGCCATAAGTGATGGCCAAGCTGCCTGAAAGGTCCCTGATGGAGAGAGGTATCCTCATTGATGCATATAAGAAGTGGTGGGGATGGACTTGCTTATGGACATAGGTGGTATGTAAGTGGGAGGCTTGGAGTGTCAAATAGACCTCTCCACTTGATTCCACTCCCCCCCAAGTCCCAGGCCTCCGCATAAAGCCTCATTAATATAAATATACCCAAGGAAGTCTTTATTTGACTAATTATGGTGTTCTTCCTACCACCCCTACCTCTAATAACAGTTTAGGAAACTGAGGCCCCAGAAACAATAAGGTGTTAGGTCACTGGGGTGTAAAACCCAGGGTGGCATTGGGTTAAGTAAGGAAGCCTTCTGGCAGGCAAAGGAAGTCCAGAAAATGAGGAAGGGAATCAGGAATATGGGAAAAGGAATGAAGAAGCATCAGTCTCCTCCTTTCCTTCATCCTTTCCCAGGGGACCCCAAGTAGGGGGAATGTAATTCCTTTCCTAGATTTCCTGGACACCTAAGTCCCCTCCTTTTGGCTCAGGTTGTAGATGCCCCGGGGAGCTGACACCTTTTTGATTTAATTAGAAAAATATCAGAGAGACACACAGCTCCCCTAACTGCAACTTCTCGCTTACACCACACACCCTGTATGCATGTATATGACACATCCCCTTTTGCAGACAGACAGCAATCTATAGCCCCTACCCCACGTATACGCTCTTCTCTATTTCTCTCTCCCTGGTTCCCTTACAAATTCAACAGTCTGGATGGACTGTTATGCTGTTCTTGGTATCTGTCCTAGGGAAGCCCAAGGAATTCCCTTTTCCTTCGTTTTTCTCCCGGAGTTCAGCAGAGTAGCTGGGGCCACTGAGATAGGAAAGGAAGGAGATGCCGACTTTTTTTTTTTTCCTACACCTGAGCTTGGTCAACAGACACTGTATCGGGTCTGTACCCTTTGACTTTGGGCCTCCTGTCAAGCTAATTCCTCTGAGTATGTATGTGTTGGAGGTGAGAAGACAGTAAAATAGCAAGGGATCATGGCAGCCAAGCATGAGCTCTGCAGATCTATAGGAGGGAGGGAGTTGGGCAAAGATGAATCAGTATGTCATGGAGGGGTGGCTGCTGTAGCAGCCTTAACATAATGACAGAAAGGGGAGGTGTAGAGGACCCCCGACCTGATGTACAACTGTCTTGGGTTCTTTAGCCCTTAGTGCTATAACCATCCTGGGTTATTTGGGGGGGGGGCAGCAATGAGGCGAGCACCTCTGTAAATCAACAGAAACTTCCTAGTCCTCAGGCTCTTTGAGGGGTCATTATCCAGCTTAATGAAATTCTGGGAGTGCAGTAGAGAAAACACTACTGAAGTTAAGAGACCTCTTTCCACTCCTGGCTCTTTTACTAACTAGCTGTGGAGCTTTAGGCAGTTAAAAAAAAGGGGGGGGGGGAGTTTTAGGCTCTCTGAGCCTCTCTTTCTATCCTCAGAACACAGCACAGTGCCAGAAAGACAATAGGAATTTAATAAATGTTTCTTGGATTAAAATGAGGGCATTAGACTAGATCTTTACAGTCCCTTACAGCTTTGATTCTATGACTCTACTTGTCCTAGGAACTGTGACCCAGCAGCACAAATGACCCAGGGCCCCTGTGTGGGTATTCCAGGAGCCATCTTATGGGTTGATTTCTCCCTGGAGCAATGTCTGAAGACCCACCCTGAACCTGCCCCAGCTAGGACACTTGGCTCCCTCCCTGCTTCCTGTCAGTGTGCCAAGTGGCCCTGCCCTATCACCAAACTGGCTGCAAGTCAGGGCGACCTTGTACCTGGTTGACTGGCTGAGCCAGGCCTAGGATGGGGAGGAAGAAGGGCCACTCCTCCTCCCCTCCCTCATTAACCCTTCCCTCCTGTGGCACCCAGAGGCAATGGGACTTCTACTCAGTGCTTTGGGATCAAAGAGGCCAGACAGGCTCCTGCTTCTGCCTTTTGTACAGGGCTGGTCCTGGCCTGCCTGACTGTGACTGGAATATGTTTTTAAAGTATGGGAAGGGGAGAAAGGATAGAAGGAGATAGAAGAGAAAGACAATGAGTTGGTATTTTAAAGAAGCTAGCTGGTACAATGGATGGAATGCTATACTTCAAGCCAAAAAGACCTGAGTTCAAATTCTGCCTCAAACACTTATTAGTTGTATGACCTCAAACAGATCACTTCACCTTTCTTTGCCTCAGTTTCTCCAGCTGTAAAATGGAGATAATAGTAGCATCTACTTCACAAGGTTGTTAGGATCAGTGAAAGAAAGCACCACATAACTGCTAGCTGGTTATTTTGTCCCCTCTCTTTTCACTATGGGGTCTCTCTGGTCCAGAGATTTCCTTTCTTGGTACTGGTGGGGGTTTCTATGGCTTAAAGAAGGTTAGATTATATTTCATTCCTAGGACCCTCTCTGATTTCTCATTCCCCTCTCAGGCTTGATTTCCATCAATGAGTGGAAGAGTTAGTTGGGAAATGTTCTATAGGAGAAGTAAATGAAAGTGCCATAGCCCCTCCCCCCCTTCCTCCCCCAGCCACTGCAGTGATTACTAACCCAGGCAATAGTGTTCATACATGTGACTTGGTGTGCCCAACATGTTCAGGCAGGTGGCTGGGACTCTGACCTAGAGTGGGAGGGGGGATATAGAGAGGGAGAACTTGGCCCCCTGGCAGGTGGGGCAGCACTGAGCTGGTAGCATTCTCAGTCTGGGGCATTCCTGGGCCAGGCGGTGCCTTTCTGACACCTGCCCTGCCAATCTCTGTACAGACATTCTGCTGGATGATTTTGTCCTCACTCACTCGCTCTTCCTCCCTACTGAGCGCTTCCTGCAGGAGCTCTACCAGTAATATCCTTTCTTTGGGAGTTTTGGGGAGGGTCTGGAAGCAGTTCCCAGCCAGCCAGGGGTAGACGTGCTGCCTAACATTGGGCACTTCCCCAACACCAAGAAGTCACTACAGTTAATATCAGGCCACCTGCTGGGTTATTGTGAGGTTTGCTATAAATATTGGACCACCTGGTATGTCATTTTAGGGTCTGCTATAAGCAATGAGACACCAACTAGCCTGTTGGAGATTTTGTCACCAGGAGCTGGGCTGTCAGAGTCTAACCCAGGGGTTTTCCCTGAGGCAACCCAAAGATTCTGGGGACAGAGTTCCCTGAAAAAAATTGCTTCTTTATTTTGAATTATCATGTAACTGAAATCTAACATTTCCTTCAGTTATTGAAAACCATTGTTCTGAGAAAAAGCCAAAGACTTCACTAGACCTCCAAAGGAGTCTATGCCATAAAACAGGGGAAGAGCCCCTGATCTAAGTGAATTCCTAAGTGAGGTGGGTAGAGTCAGGGTAGCCTGCAGTGGAACTCAAATTGGTAGTGACTGGATGGTGTAAAAACTTAGAATGCCCCCCCCCACCCCGAGCAAGTTGCTGAGGCTAGGGAAGGGATGATATCCTGGCCCCAAGTGAAGGGAACCTCTTCTGACCCTCTTTCTCTCCCACCCACCAAGACCCAAGGTAAGGTGCAGGAGGACTGTGAAGTTAATTATCTATCCTCTTCTCCCCAATAACCTAGTTCATTGAAGGGTGGGCAAAGAATCTAAGACAGAAAGGAGTAGAACCCCTGGGTCTGGTCTCGTAGTACTATTTTCCTTAACTTTAGGGTCAGCTTTGTTCAATCAGACGGTACTGAGGGGGCTGAGGGGCTAGGCCGGAAACAGGCATGCTTAGCTGTGCTCCTCCACTTTCTGGAGACATATCAAGGACTACTGCAGGAGGAAGAGTGCGCTGGTCGAATCATTAAGGTGGGTGCCACCCCACTTAGAAGTATAGTAAAGGAGACTGGGTTTAGGAGGCTCCAGGGTCTCTGAGGAAGGGAGACTATTCCTATTGAAGAAATATCCTCTGAGCTGAGGACTCAGGGAAAAAAAAATACTTGGGGAAAAAAGTGCTCATATTCATGAGCTTAGAACAGTCATGTAACTTGAGAAGACATAGAACCCCTTCACCCAGAGACAAACACCTTCGGTACACGCACTCTGCTAAAGCCTTTCACTCTGTCTCCACAGCCTTCTCCCTCCCCAGTCACTTGTGTGTGAGATAGGGCTGGTTCAATTTAGGAAAAAAGGTTGGGCTTAGGCATGGTGGTCCTAGCTCATCCCTGAAGCGTTGAATTCCCCTTTACCCCAGGATCTATATCTGCTGATCATGAAAGATGAGTCTCTCTACCAGGATCTCCGAGAGGACACCCTGAGACTACACCAGCTGGTGGAGACAGTAGAACTCAAGTGAGGTTTGGAGTAGGGGAGAGGGAGAAAATGGGTATCACTCCAGTTTCCCTGAGGGGGAATTTTTTTCCTATACCCAGGATTATTTCCTTCCTATTCTCCATATATATCAGTTTTGGACACAACGAATATTTATTGAGCAAATTCTTACTGAATACCTGTTGTGTTCAGGGCCTGTGAATGTTGATGGGGTGAGGGTCAGGGGATATACAAAGATGAACACAATACTTCTCCTGCCCTCAAGGAGCTTACATTCTAGTTGGGGAAAAATAAGACATGTACGTAAACTACCAGGTGGTACATTGAAAAGTGCTGTAAGATAGAGGTACTAATGGGAAGAGCTACAGAATTTCAGAGACTAGCACAATCAGAGAAGACCTGATGACCAGGAGAAGGTAGCATTTATCTTGGCCCTTAAATGACAGGTCAATATTTATTTGGAATAGTGACCCAAGATGCCTGGCATTATCAGTTATACCAGCACCACTTCCTTCACCTCCTCATCCCACTTAGAAGGGTATAGCCTTCTTCCTCAAAGCAGTTTCAGAGCCTGGTGCCTATTTGGCCACAGCCCCCTAGATTGGGGTCTCTGCTGGCTGATGTTTGGTGTACCCTCTCTTGGGGCAGTGCCCACTAATGCCTGCTATACCTGGTGCCAGGATTCCAGAAGACAGTCAACCACCCAGCAAGCAAGTGAAGCCACTCTTTCGTCACTTCCGCCGAATAGACTCCTGTCTGCAAACTCGGGTGGCTTTCCGGGGCTCAGATGAGAGTAAGTGCTATGGGTGTGTGGGAGAGGTGGGGAGGTTGTATGTTCCACACCTAGGATCTCCACTGGGTTTCTCTGGGGTCCTTCTGAGGAGTCACTTTAGGTCTTGGAGCCTACTAACAGGGTTTCTTTGGGCCCAGTAATTCCCCAGGGGAATATCTCAGATTCCATACCTATACTTTTCCCTCTGTCCTAATCACCCTCTCCCTTACATCTACCCTCATATCACACCTCAGTCTTACTCATACATACAGTGGAATAGTTACCAATGGAAGGTGATAAAATGGACTTGCCTTTTGCCATGGTACCATTGTACCTTTCCCTTTCCTCAGCTGCCAAAGATGTAATGCCCAGGTGGCAAAGGGTTGAGGAGATGGTGAGAGTTGGATGTGGTCACAGTTTTCCCCTCTAACCAGCCCCCCTTCTCTGCCTCCTCCTTTCAGTCTTCTGCAGAGTCTACATGCCTGATCACTCATATGTGACAATCCGAAGCCGCCTATCAGCCTCAGTGCAAGACATCCTAGGTTCAGTGTCAGAGAAGCTGCAGTATTCAGAGGAGTCAGCCGGGCGGGAGGACCCCCTCATCCTTGTGGCTGTGGCATCCTCAGGAGGTGAGTGAGGCACCAGGGTGAGATGGAGTTGCAGGAATGTTGCTGGGGATTCTAGATAGGAAAAGTATCATTGCAGAGATAGATTTGGCTGTCTAGAACAGAAGTGAATATATTCATAGGGCTTATTAGAGTCAGAAGACCTGGGGTCCAGCTCCACCTCATTCTCTGAGTTACCTTAGGCAGGTTGCTTTCTGTCTGGGTATTTAGGGAGTTCTTTGTCTTTGAGGCTGAAGCCACAGGAAGGGGCCCCTATGTCTAGGGTAGTAACAACACATTAAGCCTGCTGTATCTTCATAGCCTCAACTTTTCTGTCCGTAACATGGGAAGAATAATCTTCACTCTCCCTCACCCCACTTCCTTGAAAAGGTACTCAAAGTATAAAAATGAGAAAAGTGCTTTGAGGGAAAAAAAAGGGAAAAGGGTGCTACAAGTGCAAAATGGATTATTATTGTTATTTTAGAAACTCAGATAAGTCTGATATAAACCCATATGCCTAGTACATCCCAGGCCAGAGGGTGTCCTAGGTAGCCACAACATTCCTGAGTGCCTCCAAATCAGACTGAAATGTAGTTGGGAAATATTTAAGATAAATAAAAAATACAATAGAATATAGATAATGTTACTATGTGCTTCTCTTTTTTCTTTCTTTTTTTAAGTAAATAATATTTTGTTTTTTCTAATTACATGTAAAGATAGTTTTCAATATTCATTTTTTATAAAATTTTAAATTCCAAATTTTTCTCTCTTCCTCCTTTCTCTCCCCTCTCCACAAGTAGGCGAGCAATCTGATTTGATTATACACTGTGGTTTTCTTTTTTTCTTTTTTTTTAAAGTGAGGCAATCAGGGTTAAGTGGCTTGCCAGGGTCACACAGCTAGTAAGGTCTGAGGTCGGATTTGAACTTAGGTCCTCCTGACTCCAAGGCCTCAGCTCTATCTACTTTGCCACCTAGCTGCCCCTACACTGTGGTTTTCTAAGTCAATATGCAACAATGAGAATCCTTAAGTATGGTTTAGTGGTCTCCATTTTTATTTGAGCTTGATGCCACTGGTCTAGACCACATACTTGAGTTGAGAGTCTTCCAGTGGTATGACAGGGGTCTAGAAGTTCTGATGGAATTTTTGCTGCTAACATATGATAAATCCCCACATCCAAAAGACATTTGACTAGTTATTTTAGAATTTTAGGATCTGAAAGTAGCTAACCATCTAAGATATAATTTAGTTCAACTCCCATCCTCTTCCAGAGGAAGAAATTGAGTCAATGTGAATTCAGTTCAATCCACTTGACCAAGCATTTATTAATATAGGATTTCCTTCTGAGGGAAGAAATACAGGGGAAAATCTGGGCAATGTAAAAAAATTAAAAAGCTAGCATTTATATATTATGTTAAGATTTGCACAGTACTTTTTGCACAGTACTAAAATGTTATCTCATTTTAACCTCACAATAACCTTGGGAGGTTTGTATTATCCCCATTTTATAGATGAGGAAACTGAGACTGAGAGAGGTTAACTGACTTGCTCAGGGTCACGCGGCTAATGTTTGAGACAGGATTTGAACTCAGGTCTTCCAAACTTCAGGTTTCATTGTGTCATCTAGCTGCCTCTATAAAAACAAAAGATGTCAAAAATTATTTAAACAAATGGACAAGCATTTGCCAGGTGCCTGCTATGTGCCAGGAACAGTGCTAGGTACTAGATATACAAAGTCAATCTCAACCTACCCCTCCAATAGTTACTGACCTCAAGTTATTGCTAGTTTTATTTATTATTTTCCTTGAGTCTGAGAGAGGGAGAGCTCTGTAAAAGGTGTTACCAATGTGGACTTGGTCCCAATGTACTTGAAGCAGGGGGGGGGGGGGGGGGCTTCAATGATGTGAGGAAGAGGAACCAGAAATCCTGAGATCCTAGACCATGGATTGAAGGACTGGGTTTTGGGTTTTGCCTACAGAGAAGGTCCTGCTACAGCCCAGTGAAGATTGTGTCTTTACCACCCTGGGCATCAATAGCCACTTGTTTGCCTGTACCCGGGACTGCTATGAAGCACTGGTAAGACTTCCCCACCCTCATCCCCACCCCAGCCCCCCACCTCCAGCTTCAATATGCTGCTTGGCTAAGCAAGGGGAAAGGGAGACCCATGTACATGAGATCATGACCCTGAGTATCTTCCCTGAGGACACCCTTGTACTCCTTACCCCCAGGTGCCCCTCCCTGAGGAGATCCAGGTATCCCCTGGGGACACAGAGATTCACCGAGTGGAGCCAGAGGATATTGCCAATCACCTCACTGCCTTCCACTGGGAGCTGTTCAGATGCGTGCATGAGGTGGGATGGGTGGTGGAAAGTGGGGGAAGAGAAGAGGGCTAGGTGGAAGAGATGGCTGAGGGGAGAAAGGGGACCAAGGCTGGGAAATAAATTGGGAGAGGACCAGTAGACCTCCAACCAATGTTATTTTTGTCTTCCCCCATCCCTTTTATACTGACTCCCCTTTGCCCTCAACTCCATGTCTCTGCTTTCATCTTTTATCTCCTTTCCCTTGGATGGCCTGTCACACCCACCCCAACCTCTGTCTCCCCCAACTCTGTTGTCTTTCCATCTGTCTTTTCTACACTCTTCTCCATGCTGCCTGTCTTCCCTCACCTGTGAACTGACCGGTGGCTTAGCTGGAGTTCGTGGACTACGTGTTCCATGGGGAGAGGGGCCGACGAGAGACTGCCAACTTGGAGCTTTTGCTTCAGCGGTGCAGCGAGGTCACCCACTGGGTGGCCACGGAGGTTCTGCTCTGTGAACCTCTCGGGAAGCGAGCACAGCTGCTCAAGAAGTTCATCAAGATTGCAGCCATGTGAGCCCCAAATCTGACTGGGAAGGCAGGGAAGGGGGGCGCTATGGTTGGGAAAGGTCTGGGTCCCTGAAACCTACTCACCATTCCCCCAACCCTTACTCTAAACAGCTGTAAACAGAATCAGGACCTGTTGTCTTTCTATGCTGTGATTATGGGGCTGGATAATGCTGCTGTCAGTCGCCTCCGGCTCACCTGGGAGGTGAGGGAATATCCCCTGCCCTCTAGGATTCTCCCTCCTTTCTCAACTCCCTTCTACCTTGGGTTCCAGCCTTTCTTCCGTCTTAAGATTCTAGCTTCCATATTCCCAACAACTCTCCCTGTGCCATTATTAACTCCTAAATGAAGCTGGAATCTCCTTGTCCCTTTCTTTGCCATCCCTTTAACCTATATTCTGGGCAAACTGGTCATTCCCCCTCCACCCACCACCTCCCCACGCCATGAATGGATTAGCTAAAGCCATCCTAAAACCAGTGCCTTCTCTATGAACATTTCCTTTCCTTTCTTCAAACTTTTTTTTCAGAAACTTCCTGGGAAATTCAAGAACTTGTTTCGAAAATTTGAGAATTTGACAGTGAGTTTGGTTCCTTTCTCTTCCCTCCTCCCACACATGCATACAAATATGCTCATCTCCCTGGGATTCCAGGGACCCTCTTGCTACTTGACCAACCTAGGCTTTTAGCAGATGGAAAAGGATGTAAGAATGTGTATGTGTATTTGTGTATTATTTGTGAGGAGCTGGAAGAGCAGTTATCACACCCCCCTCATTCCCCTGTGCCCAAAACCAGCCATGTGGTCAGGGAGGGAAGTAACTGAGGCAGGAAGGTTAGAAAGGGAGTGGGAGCACTCACTAGCAGTAATGTCAGATCCTACTTTGATCCCTGGTCAACTGATAGGAGAGTGGTTACAGAGATAGACTTGGAGGCGGGGCTCAGATTCTGCTTCTTACGTTGACTTAGCTTGTGACTGAGGGATGGTTACTTTTAATGAGCCTCAGTTTCCTCATTTGCAGTATCATTTAGTGGATAGTAGTGGCCTCAGATTTAGGAAGACCTGAGTTCAAGTCTCACCTCTGATACCTGCTGGCCACGAGGCCCTGGACAAGTCATTTAGTGTCTGAAGCAACTCTGATGCTTTGAATTGAAGACAATATGTTGATTGAAAAGGAAAATTCCTCTCTTTGAGCCCCCCGTGCTGATGAAATCACAGGAATGGCCAACAAAATTTTTACCTATCTCAGTAGGGCTACTGTGAGGTTTAAATGAGGTAATGTTCAAAACAGTCTGCAAATCTGAAAGCCATGTACAAATACCAGCCATTATTCTTATTCTCTAGGACCCCTGCAGGAACCACAAAAGTTACAGAGAGGTTGTATCTAAGATGAAGCCACCAGTGATCCCCTTCGTGCCTCTGATCCTCAAAGGTGAAGAGCCCTGACCTTCAAACATGACACTTCATGACCCTTTATCAATGCTCCAACCCCTAAGGTTATCCCCTGAACCTGAAACCAGGGCTTCTGAACCTTTTTGTGTGTCCTATATCCCTTTGGCAGTCTGGTGAAGCCTATGGACCCCTTCTCCAAAGAATGTTTGTAAATGAATAAAATAAAATACAAAGGATGACAAAACAAATCAATTAAACCGATATACAGATAGAGTGGGTTTTTTTTTTTTTTTTAACCGTTGAAGTTCTCTTACTCCCTGGAATCTACCCATGGACCCCCAAGAAGTCTGTGGACACCAAGTTAAGGAACCTTGCCTTAAATCCTGATTCTAAATCCCAAATTTGAAGTCTTCCAGGCCAGAGAGTACTATAGAATGTTGTATGGTTGTGTAGAGAAACCCTAAATTGCTGCAACCCTCCACTGCAGTGATTTTCCAAGGGTTTTCTTTGGCTCCCCTGTCCATACCTGATTCACTCTTCCTCCTTCCCCCTATAGATTTGACATTCCTGCATGAAGGCAGCAAGACTCTCCTGGATGGGTTAGTCAACATTGAGAAGCTGGTGAGTGAACCATTCATTCATGTGCCCTTCCTAATGGACCAGAGGTTGGGCTTTCACCTTCTCTTCTTAGCTCATAGTGCACTGTGCCTCGCCTGCCATGCCTGTCAGACAACATCCTTCCTTGCAGTGCCCAAGCTTGTCAGGCAGATTCCAAGTCAATCTCTAAGGCAGTATTACCGTGGCAACCCTCCCACACGTGACAGACCTGACACCCAGTTACTAGGATTCTCAGGCTAACTCTGGGCACTGAAGCCCAGCCATTCACGCACTGTCCACTCTCATTTGGGAGAATCTAGCACAGCATAGTGGGATTTGGAATCAGAGAAGCTGGCTCTGCTGGCTATTATCAATCAGCCAATCAACAAGCATTTTTTAATCATCCGTTATGCTGCAGCACTGTGCTAGGCACTAGAGATGGAAAGACAAAAAAAAAGTCCCTGTCCTCAATGAACTTACTTGTGTGTGTGTGTGTGTGTGTGTGTGTGTGTGTGTGTGTGTAACAACATGCATGCATGCATGTGGATACAAAATATATACAAAATAAAAATAAATAAATAAATAAAAAATTAGAGGGCAGAGATGCACTGGCTAGTGCAAGGGCCAGTGGCCATGGAGGTGGAACTTAAGTTGGGCTTTGGAGGAAGCTACTAAGGATTCTAAGAGGAGTTAAGGAAGAAGTACATTTCAGGCTTAGGAGATAACTGCCCATGCAAAGATCTGGAGATGGGAAATGGAATGTTGTGGATGAGGGACAGATAGTAAGGTGGATTGTAGGGTATGTGAAGGAAAAGACAGTGATCAGTGAGCTTGGAAAGACAATGTGAAGGGCTTTCAATTCCCAACAGGAGTTTATATTTGATCCTACTGGCTTTAGTGATCAGAACCATATTATTTACCTTCTATAGGCTTCAGTTTCCTCCTTTGTAAAATGAGGAAGTTGGAGCTGTTATCTCTAAGGTATCTTTTCACTGTAAAGTCAAGGATCCTGTGTGTTTTCTTTGAGCTGTTTGGAGACTAGAAATATGGGGGCAGGTTGCACCTTGGATGGGAGGGGACTCAGGCCTTGGAGGTAGGGGAATGAAGGGGATAAAAGGAGGAAGGGTATATGTGTTTGCTTTTTTCCTCATTGTGCTTCCTTCTGGTTTTCCCCTCACCCTCATTCCTCAGCATTCAGTGGCAGAAAAAGTGAGAACAATCCGGAAATACAGGAGCCGGCCCCTCTGTGAGTATGGTGACAGCAGGGTTGGATGGGTCCTGGGATGTGTGCATGTGTGAGTAAGAGTGCTTTGTCTATGGTGGCAACACCAAACCCTCTCCCACCCCAACTTTCCCTGGCTCTCCATCCTTAACGAATTTACCTTCTAAATATGTAGGCCCTGTTTTTCTCCTCCTCAGTGAAGCTACCCTTCCATCCCTCAGCTCCAGGTGCTATGGGTGTATGTGTGTGGGGAGGGGTAGTGGTGGTGGTGATGGTGACAGGAGTGACTTCCCCCTTGATGTTCCCATAGGTCTGGATATGGAAGCATCACCTCACCACCTGCAGACAAAGGCCTATGTGCGCCAGTTCCAGGTCATTGACAACCAGAATCTGCTCTTTGAGCTCTCCTACAAGCTGGAGGCCAATAGTCAGTGAGGGTGGTAGTGGTGTTGGGGGTACCAGTCCAGTTACTTCTCCGGGAGCTCCTGGTACCCACACCTGGCACTCAAGCACTTTGCACGTGTGTCCCTCTCCTCTTCCCACCTCCTCCTTGCTCTGACAGATCTCCTTCCTCTCTGGAGGGTTGGTTAGAAATCAGCTTTGTTGCACTGAGATCTTATGCCTGTCCCTTCCAGGCTACCTAAATTTTTATTTTCTAGATTCCTCTTCTCCTTCTGCCTCTATTCCTAGCCAAAATTGTACCCTCCCATCTCACCACCACCACACCCCCCCCCCCCCCAAGACAGTGAGAAGAGGTGGAAGTTTCCTCTTCTGTCCCCTTCCTGTAGCAGGATCAGTCTGGGGATGGAATTTCCAGTCCCCACCTCCTCAGGTAGGAAGGAACACTGCAGGTTAGGGTAGGAAAGGAATTGTGGAGGGAAAACCAGCAGCCTCCATATTTGCCATACCTCTTAGCTTCTTCTCTTGTGGTCCTGGGACCCCTCTTTGCTGTGAAGGGAGAGGGACTCCCCCCACCCCAAATCTTTATCTTACCCCTTGGTACAGCTCTCCCTTTCCCAGGGTTAGTTGGGGGAGTTGTTGTGAGAAAGGAATAGGATCTCCAGCTAGCAAAATGGGGGTGCATTGTACAAAGTGATCTCTGCTGTTTGGTGCTACCCTTGTCTGCCTTGGCCCTGGGAGGGGCCTGGGTGTTTTCTTTATTCTCTCTTCTCCACCAACCCCTTCCCTGTTTCTACTCCTACTCTGCTCCCCAGGTGCTGCCCTACATGCCCAGGCTTGTGGGTGAAGCTCTCCCTGGGGGCAGGGAGCAGCAGCAGGTGGGAGGTGTACCCATGAGCCCCTGCGCAATTCCCTCTGTCCTTCCCTCTCCCCCATTTCCCAAATATCCCTGGGTGGGGGTGAGAGGGCAGCAGATGCTCAGGGAAACATAGACTTAAGCTGCCTAGTGTACTCATCCCTCTTCTCCTGGGAGGTATAGAAGAGGGAAGTGAGGCACAGAGTCAGGAGTTAAGGGTCCTTGCTGACAAATGCCACCTTTATCCTATTTTATTTGCTTTGGGGTATCTAGTCACTGAAATGGGAATTTTCTCTTTCCCTGCTCCACTCCCTACCCTACCCCCAAATCTCCTTCTGTTCCCAGAACCTGGCACATAGAAGATGGGAAGATGGATATCTGTGCCTCTCCCTCTGTTTCTATTCTTTCCTTTCTCCCAGTCAGGGTTAGGGTGGGTCTGGCTTCTCATTCCTTGGGCAGGGGACCCTCTTCCCCCAAGAAGAGGAGGCTCTAAAGGCAGAGAATGGACCTTGTGTGGCAATGCCTTTGCTACCTCTCTCTCTGTCTCTCCCACTGTGGGCCTCCCAGGTTGGGAGTCAAGGGGGTGTAGGTACAGAGGCCCCAGGCAGCTACTGGGCATGGTTTCTTGGCACTACCCTGCCCTCTTACCTGGCTCCTCCTCCCCCTTTTTGTGGCAGCTGTTGCTGCTTCTTTTCCTTTGAGAATGTATATATTTTTTACCAAATGCTCTTTAATTGTAAATTTATTTTTTAAAACAAAAAGAGGGAAAGAGCCTTGTATAATATGTAATGCTGTATCATAAGTAACATGTACAGTCCCTTTTATATGGCCCATCTGTCTTGTTCTTGCTACAAAATGTCCCTACACCCACACGCAGACACTACCATAAACTCCCACTCTACATATTCCCTGTTCCCGACTCATCTCCCAATCCCATCCCATCTGTGCAATTTCCTTCTTAATCCCCCGTATCTTCTTTCCCCAATGCCACTGAAAAAAAAAAATATAGCTTTTTTGCCATGCTCAGACCTCCTAACTCTCCCTCTCTCTTACCTGTTGTAGTATCCTCCTGCCCTTCCCTGCTCCCACGTAAACTTATACAAGTGTGTATGAGCGTCTTAACACACTTGTAAACGCAATCACTTTTGGTCACACTGGCTTCCCTCCAATCTCCTCACCCCCTCCTTCCTTATTCTCACCCATGTATCCACTGCCTCTCACTGCCTGCCTCTGTTCTCACCTCCCAAACCCAATCCCTGTCCCCTCCCCAGACAACGTTAACTGAATGAATGGTGTGTACTGTGTAGTTTTGGTTGTTGGGCGGAAAAAGGCCAATAAAGTCTCTAAACTAACATGTCTGCTACTCTCCTTTGTTGTATTTGTCTTTTTTATTTTTAATTGAGTCTGAGGAGAAAATAGGGTGGGGAGTAAGGGAGCCAGTGCTGTGTATCCCAAGCCTCTCTCAGGAGCTGATTTGGTAACTGAAGACCAGTTTGGTCACTGCCATGCATGGGGTAAAAACACTGGGGCTTTGAAAAAGTGAAGGTTTAACTCAATACCTTTATTGAATTCCTTTTGTGTGCAAAAGAACAATGAGAAAGACATAGATGAATGTCAAGTTCCTACCTGGAAGCAGTTTACAAAAAAACAGGGGACGTTAAATATCTACCCAGAGGATGGCATTATCAGGAAGTATAAGATGAGTGCTTCGAGAGGGCCTATAGGAATTCAGAAACACAGAGGGAATATTTCTGGGTGGTGTGATCAGGGAAAACTTCTTGGGGGGAGGTGGTATTTAAAGTGAGCGATAGGTAGAAATTCCAGATGGAGATAAAAGTGTGTAAGGGGAAAGACCTTCACAGAAAACTTAAAAAAAAAAAAAAAGCCATCTCCCTTTCCCCTACGATAGCTGTTTGTAACACCAAACATTGTCTTTGAGGTCAAAAAATTTGACCTGTTCAGATCTAAAAGATTTACAGGGTAGGGTAAGAACAAAGACCATTCTTAGCCATTTTGCCTAATGACCAAGTCCAGGCACCAGACTTCACAAGGAGATCACTGAGGGGAACACAAAATTCTGAAATGGACAAAGAAGCAGAAGTTTTAGAGAGCCCTCACCAGGACTTTGGGTACTCTCAAAGTCTGTGGCTAAATATCCTGGGCATTGTTTAGAGGTTGTAGGGGTTCCGGTGGTTACTATTGCTGTAGCTCTTCACCCTCCCAGGAAACTGAAGGAGACTCCCTCCCAGCACCCCTAGAGAACAGACTTTTTTCTTTTCTTTCCTACGGGCAACTTATTCTCTCAAAATGGCAAAGAAGGTTGAGAAGAGGAGAAATATTAGGGTTGCTATAATATCAGGGTTGTAAATATCATGGTTGCTTGGCTGTAGCTTTAGAGACAATTCCTCCCAGAGCTATTGCCTTATAAGAACAAATGATTAACTTGGACATTTCAAACTAGATGTTCTGTAGACATCCTAAATTCAACATGTCCAAAACAGAGCTAATTATTTGCTGGAGTTCATGTGTGCTCGAACACACACACACACACACACACACACACACACCCCATTTCCCTCCCAATCTGCCTCTCTACCAAACTTCTCTGTTTCTGTCAAAGGCACAGTCAGGTTTTTAATCTTGGCATGGCATTATTCTTGACTTAATACTCCCTCATGTCACTTATCCAATCAATTGCCAAATCTTATAATTTCTACATCTTAAATTCTACCGCCATTTATCTAGTCACATAGCTGCTGCTTGGTGGTCATCATCTCTCACCTAGACTATTGTAATGGCCAACTCAGTGGTTCCTACCTCAAGTTTCTCATACCTTCAATACATCTTCCAGCAGCCAAAGTGATTTTTCCTTAAGCACAGACTTGATCGTGTCACTTTCCTACTGGAAGTCCAGTGGCCTCCTAATGCTTCTAAGATCAAATACAAACTCCTCTGTTGTCTTTTAAAGCCCTTCATAAACTGATTTTCCAGCCTCATGATACCTTCCTACACTCTTTGGTCCAGCCAAAGTGGACCTCTCTCCTCTTGATGTGTGATATTCCATCTCCCATCTCTGTCACTCAGACAAGTATTTATTAAGAGCCAAAGTAATACCTTTAAAAAAATTAGCTTATTAGGGAACACCAAGCTTATTAGCTTATAGGGAACAATGTAATGGTCTTTAAGGTCCACTTGTTTTCCTTCTCTTTGGCTTTTGGGAATTTTATTTTAGGTGAAAAGTTCTGAGTTCAGTCATAGTTGTTCCACGCCTCCAGTTTTGAAATTTCTCAACATTTAGGCAGAGGTTGGATTCTGTGCAGAAACACACACACACACACACACACACACACACACACACACAGCCTGTGGTCACTTTGTGGAAGAGGCAAAATTTGTTTTACAGGAAACAGGTAAAGCAACAGCAGATTATATTATAGTGTCTGTGGATACACAAACATCTATGGGGAAGCTGAGGAAAGAGCAGACTTTTTCTTGGGACTTCCCTCAGCCTTGGTCCTCTTCTCTGAGAATTCCTTTAGAGCCAATGACTCTCCTTTCCCTGCCACAGCTCAGTCCTCCCTGTGCTTCTCAAATGAGTGCTGGAAATGCCATACTTGCTCTAACTTTTCATATCCAGATATTTAGAATTTCTCCCTCTAATTCTGAGATAGCTGCTTCCTCTTACGTAAATTATGTAGGGAATGCCCCAGTATTTCACATTTTGACTTTGACTGATTCATGGAGGTATACAGGTCCTATCTGCACTCAGTTATGATGTTTGATTCAATCAAAAAAATGTTCATGCCTATTCAGTCAGTCAATAAACATTTATTAAGTGTCTATTATGTGCCAGGCACTGTACTAAGTGCTGGGGATACAAAGAGAGCCAGAAGGCAGTCCCTGATTTCAAGAAGCTCACAATCTGTTGGGAGGGAGACAATACGCAAACAACTATTTAAACAAGCTAAATACAGGATACATTGGAGATAATAAATAGAAGGGAGGCAGTAGCTTGTTAAGGTATCAAAGCTGAAATGAGGTGGTTTCAATCTAAATCTTACACGTGACACTGGGAGTACACAGAAAGGCAGGAAAAAAACAAACAGTCCCTGCCCTCAAAGAGCATAAATTCTAATTGGGAGATAACATTTATATTTTCACTAGCAAATTGTACCTTTGTACTAGCCACCCCCATTCATGGAATGTACTGCTTATTTACCTCTGCTTCACATTATTCCTCACTTCCTTTCATGACTCAGCTCAAGTATCACCTCTACACAAAACCTTTCCTGATCTCCCCAAATGCTAGGTCCTTCCCTTCTTACTCTGTCATTTATTCATACATACACATATATGTATGTGTCATATATACATATATGTATATACATGTATACACACACACATATATATAGTCTCCCTGATAGAAAGTAAGCTCCTTGAGAATAGAGATTATTTACTTTTTTTGTATTTCTATTCCTAGCACCCAGCACAGGGCCTGCCAATGAGGCCTTAATAAATGCTACATTGATTGAATAACTCAAATTTTTTTTGAGGGGAGGGTTTCTCTTCAGAGTTTCTCCTTTTTTTTGTTTATTAATTTATTTTTATTTATCAACCATCACTTCCATAAGCTTTTGAGTTTTAAATTTTTCTCCCCTTCCCTTTCCACCTCCCTCCCCAAGACAGAGTACAATCTGATATAGGCTATACATATACATTCCTATTAAACATATTTTCACATTAGTGATGTTGTAAGGAAGAATTAGAACCAATAGGAGGAACCACAAGAAAGAGAAAACAAAACAGAAGAAAAAAAATAGCAAATAGTATGCTTCGATCTGCATTCAAATTCCATAGTTCTTTCTTTGGATGTGTATAGCAGTTTCCATCATGAGACCTTTGGAGATGTCTTAGATCCTTGCATTGCTGAGAACGGCTAAGTTTATCAACATTAGTCATAGCACAACGAGGCTGTTACTGTGTACAGCGTTCTCCTGGTTCTGCTCACTTCACTCAGCATCAGTGGGGTTTCTCCTTTTTAAGAGAGTATAAGAGGTGGTAAGGCAATGGTTATAACCTTAACTACCACCAGGCAAATAATTTTTCCTCCAGGGTGCCAACACGGGTGAGGAGGCCCCTCTTCTCCATAGACCACAGTACTGTATCTCACTTTGCAGAGCTGGAAGCCTATACTTAGGCATTCCCAGAGTCCTGTTGCTTGGGTTGCCCCTCTCTTGGACCAACATCCTTTTCCCAATGTGACTATACCCATGTTCTTTTTCTTACCCTGTCCCCCCTCCCCTTTAAATTATTTTTGTCCCATCTGGAAAAATGTCTAGTTGTGGCTTCAGTGGAGGTAGAGAATGAGATTTTCTTCAATTATAAAATGTGGGAAAATACTTCTACCTCACAGGGTTGTTGTAAGGAAAGTGCTTTGTTAATCTCAAAGCGCATAAAAAAGTGAGCATTGTTTTAGTGACATAGCAGATTTGTCCCTCAACTGTGTGTATTTGCTAGTTGAAAACTTCCGTCAACTCATTTCTGGTAGGAAGAGGAGACAAAGTAAAGTGAAGGCACATTCAGGTTGTACACATTAAGTCCACTAGGTGTCACTACTACTGTTCTCATTAAAGTAACTAGTCATCTGACTTAGGGGGATATTGGGGTAAAGGAGAAGGGGATGAAGGATTGATGGGGAACAGAGTTATGGAATCTTGGAGGAGCTAATTTCCCAAACTGGTGCTAGGAGTTTAACTATCATCAAAAGGAAATTAAGTCACTAACTTCCAGTTTTTTTTTTCTTCAATTTTTTTCCTTTTAAATGTCTCAAGATAAAGGAGTTTGATGGAGCGGGATTGAAACAGTTTCTAAGGTCAGGATGATAAGCAACTCTTCTTGCTTTTTTTTCCTTGCCCCAGGCATCAAACCAAGGCCTTCGGGTTTTATTGAAAAAAAGGTGTTTTTGTTTTTTGTTTTTTAATGCCTGGTGGTGCCCTCATATCAAATAAATAAAATGAATAACTAACTGTAGCTTATCAAGTAAAGATGAAATCTTAAGAAATATGCTTATACTCAGCCTCCTGGTCTACCTTTCATAGTAACCCAACCTTCCTTTCTACCTAGCAGCATTCAATTTAACATGTATTTACTGGCTCTCAATCTGGTTCTGGTTGTGCTTCTAGGAACCATCAGGTTGTCCTTCTGTTACCCTAATCATTGATAAGGCCCTACATGGCATCTCTAAGTTCAGTTCTAGAGGTTCCAACATCTGAAGGAGAAGGAAGACATGTGGAGGGAACAAAAAAGGGAGAAGGCTAAAGGTTATAGGAGTCTAGAGAAGAAGAACAAGCTGAATGAGGAATTGTAATATATTCTGAAAGGTTGACCTGGTGGTATCAGGTACCACTCAGGTCAGAGCAAGAGGATCAAGGTTTAAAGGGCTACAGTAAGAGAGACAATGGATAAATCTAAGAAAGGTCTTCCTGAGAACATAGTGGGGGAAAGATTGGAATAGAATTGAATTGAGCCATGGGAGAGAAGTCAATTAAGAAATAAGGACATGTTTTGAGCTCAGCTAGGGCAGCTAAGTGGCACAGTGGATAGAGTGCCCTGGCCAGGCGTCAGGAAGACTTCTCTTCCTAAGTTCAAATCTAGCCTCAGACACTTATTAGCTGTCTGACCCTGACCAAGTCATTTAACCCTGTTTGCTTCAGTTTCCTCATCTGTAAAATGAGATGGGTCATGAAGAGTTGGACCTGACTGAGCTGAGCGCCCTCTACAAATGGAGCATTTGGAGTTCATGGTCCTACTCTCCAATCAGAGGGGTAGGGTGTAGTGATGAAGTAGAATACTCAGGTTTGTGGAATCTTGTAGAATGATAAGGTTTTCCCAATAATGAGTTTCCTGGGGTGTTGTAGAGAAGTCATAGAAGTCCCAAAGTAGGTGAGAAATGAAGAGGACTCAAGAAATCATTTTGGATTCAAGAAATCAACTGTGTAAGTACAGGTTGAGGGAAAGTGTAGATGACAATTTATATACAAAAAGATCTGCAAGTTTGATGACTAGCTCAATATGAATCCATTGTGTGACATAGCAGTAAAAAACAAAAAACAAAACAAAACAAAAAAACACACCAACAACCAACTAATACAATATTAGGCTGCACTGAAAATCTTGGGACTATGAATGACATGATAGCAGTCTTCAAGTATTTGTAAAGAGCTGTCATGTGGAAGAGAGGAATCCTTTGAGTCAGAAGATCTGGATTCATGTCTTGCTTCTGACACATACTGACACTATGTCAGACTTAACTAGAATTTAAGTCACTTAATTTCTCAGTGCCCTAAGCAATTCTGTAAGTTACAGGGGCAGCTAGGTGGCGCAGTGGATAGAGCAATGGCCCTGAAGTCAGGAAGGACCTGAGTTCAAATTCGATATCAGACACATAACACTTAGCAGCTGTGTCACCCTGGGCAAAAAAAAAAAAAAAAAGGAAAAGAAGACTATAAGCTACAGAAAAAAATAGTTGCCCATTTGTCTTGGTGGAGGGGCTTTAGGTTCCAGGCTGTGGCACATAGTACAGGCTTAGTGTTGATTGCTTGATTGATTGTTACCTATACTTCTGGATTACAAAAATAATAATAATAATAATAATAATTAAAGAGAAGAGGGATTACACTTAATCTACTTGGCTCCGTGGGCAGAACATAAAGCAGTGGTTGGAAGTGGTAGAAAGGAAGATTTAGACTCAAAGTTAGGAAAAACTTCACAACAAGCAAACAATCTTCAAAAGTAGAATGGGCTGCCTAGAAGGAGTAGGTTTCCCTTTACTGGAAACCTTCAGGCCAAGGTTGGACGACCACTTGTTGGGAATATTGTAGCAAGGATTCTTGCTCAGGTACGAGCTGGACTGCATGGCCTCTAGGGTCCCTCCCAACTCTGAGATTCTCTGATTGTCTAGAACATCGCGATCCTGGCAGGAGCCATCATCTCTGTCGTCATGACAATAGGAGGTTGGCCACAAAGTGTCTGCCGTGTTAGGCCGCAGCCCAGTTCTTTTACTCTTTAGTTCGCGAGAGAAATTGGTTGGAGTTGGCAGTGAGAGGGTAGACGAGTGGGCGGTGAGAGAGAGGGGAATGCATCCTCACACACCCTCCTCTTCCCGCTCCTACTTCCTCTTCTTAGGGAGGGAACCCGCGACTTCCCCAACATGGTGGCCGCGTCCCCTCCACCTTCGTCATTCCGCAAGGAGGCGTGACCTCTGTAGGAGAGCATGCGTTCAATACCCCTCGGCTCCATTCCCTCCTCCTTCTTTCCCCTAACTCCATTTTGTTCGCGGATGCTGTGGAGGGTGGGAGTGGATCCATTTCCGGGTTGGCAAAAGGGGCGGTGGCGGCGAGAAAGGGTGAGGGTGAGAGAGAGAGAGAGAGAGACAGAGAGAGAGAGAGAGACAGAGAGAGAGAGAGAGACAGAGACAGAGACAGAGACAGAGAGACAGACAGAGACAGAGACAGAGAGATAGAGAGACACACACACACACACACACATACACATACACAGAGAGAGAGAGAGAGAGAGCGAGAGAGAGAGCTGGGAACTGAGAGGACGGGACGAGGCCGGAGCGACGGCAGCGGAGGAAGAGAGGAGAGGAGAGGAGAGGAGAGGCTCTCGGAGCGGCGGCGGCCTGAGTGCGGAGGGGCCGGGGCGGTCGGGCCCCGGAACTGAGGTGACCCGCGGAGCGCGGGGGGGGGGGGGGGGGGGGGGCGTGGGGGGGGGGGTCGAGGAGGGGGGGGGGGGGGGGGGGGCGGCAAGACTCTGTCCCGGGGGGGTGGGTGGGGGGGAGGGCTGGGAGAGTGCGGCACTGTATGGGGGGCGGGTAGGGAGCAGAGAGGAAGGAGACTGGGGTGGGGGGGAGATGTCCAGGAATGGGGGGAGCCTGAAGAGCGGGGTGATGGGGTAGGGAAGAGGGAACTAGGCTGGAGGATTGGGAAGGGCTTCTCCCCCTCTCTTTACAGACTCTTTCCCCCCCCCTTCGAGGGGTCCAAGGAGTCTGTGCCAAGTGACATCCCACAGGGTGGCAGGGAGACACTGGGGGCGAAAGTTGGCAGTTTGGGGGGAGGGCAGTGGGGAGGTAGCTGGAAGGGGTGTTGGAGAGAAGTCGCGCAGAGGGGGAGCGGGGTAGGGGGCAGTGATCTGCCTTGAGATTAAGGTTGATGTAGTTGGTAATGAAGGCAGATGAAGCTGGGGCATGATGTGGAGTGAGGGGAGTTGAGTTGGAAAGGGTAGGAGGAACAGGAGAACCCGAGGGTCAGCCCAGCTGGACTGTCCACTAGCATTAACATACTTGTACTATGTTGCCAGGTAGTCAGCCCGCAAGCACTTATTAAGCGCTTACTGAGCACTCACTGCTAAGAGGAAGGTTAAAAACAAAACAAAACAAAAAAACAAACCAGTGCTCTCCTGGAGCTCATGGTATAATGGAGGCAACATGCAAATAACTATGTCATATATATAGGATATATAGAGTGCAAATGGAAGGTCATCTTGGAGAGAAGGCACTGGTAGTGGGATTTGAGCAGTCTTGAAGGTAGCCAGGGAAGCTAGGAAGCCAAGCTAAGGAGGGAGAGCATTTCCAGGCAGGAGGGTCAGTCTGTGCACAGGGTGTTGTGAGATGGCCAGTGTTGTGTGAGGAATAACAAATAGGCCTGTTGTAGCTGTATTGTAGAGTTCCTGGAGGAGATTCAAGTGTAAGGTGGAAAGGGGCACTGTGTGAAGGGATAGGGATATAAAGAAAGGCAAAGGCAGCCCATTCCTTTAAGGAGCTTACAGTTCTAATGAGGGAGGCTCAGTAAGTTAACCAGGCATATACCTATAGAGTAGATGAGAAATTACCTTGTGGGGAAAGGAGGTGTTCCTGAGGTATGAAGGCACAACACTGGGAGGATTAGGAGGAATCGTATCTAACATTTATATAGAAGTTTGAGTGTATTGTCTCATTTGAGCTTCATAATACCGACTTTGTGAGGTTGGTCCTGTAAGTATTAGCTCCATTTTACAGATATGAAAAGTAAGGCTCAAAGAGATTAAATAAATTTATGTATGTCAGCCCAGTAGGCAAGCTCAGTTAGGGCAAGAACTATTTTATTTTTGTCGTTTTATCTCCAGTGCCTGGGTTGCCCAGTGACTGGTACATAAAAATTGGCATTTAATAAATGCTAGTTGATTTGTCCTTACATGGCTACTGAAGTGTCAGAAGTAGCATTTCTGCTGAGTTCTCCTAATACAACCCTCTAAACAACTTAAAATGACATATCAAACTGAATTCTGAGTTCGAAGCTCTGACAGCTATAATTCAAACCTGAGAGGAAACTAAATTGTGTTCCTGCGATGTCCCTCCCCTGCTTGTGTCCAGACTGCTCTTTTGCCTCCTGCATATCAAGGGTTTAGGGAATACCTGTTTCTGGAGGTCCACAAAAGGGTTCATGGATTTCCAAATTAGTTTCAAGCTTAATTTCTATTCCTAGTTCACCTTTGACTTTGAGGCAAGGCATGGAACTTCTAACTTCAGATTTTTCTATAGAACCCTTCCTTCATCCTGGTTCTGAGATGTTTAGGACATTAATTGGATTGCTTCAGGGAACAGGATCATGATAAAGCTATAGCATGAATCAAACTTTCTCCGGAAACCCTTCTTTCCATTCATGCTCCTTCATATCCTAGGGAAGAATCTGTTGGTATGGTCTGATGCATTTGTGTGTTTTTTTTTTAAACTTCCTAGTTTCAAGTGTCCAGTGTGCTAATTTTGGTGTTATTGATGTTGGTTGGCATTAGGCAACATTGTCAACAGTGGGACGAGAGGAGGATGCACTGAATTCTTTACGTTGTCTAGCCATCAGAAGGTCTTGCTTGCTCTTAGCCATTTAAAACATCTTAACATTTATAGTTGTCTAATAATTTCCTCTTGACTTCTTTGAGAGACAATTAAGGAAAAATGATGTTTTTGAGGTATTGGTCCTGTTGTCCAGAAATCATAAAATTGGCTTACCTGCCTTCTGATGGGTCTTATGGTACCCTGTGGACAAATTTAACTTCTTGATTTTCTCCTTTAGAAACTTTGACTTCCTTGCTTTTCTTTTGTCTTCCTATTTGAGCACTATCCCATTGGTGAGCCGTAGAAGATGGGTTCCTGAAAACCATCTGTACCCTTAAGCTTACTTATTTTTTGTGTGATATCAGAGCATTGTTTACCTCAGTGGTTTTCTGGCACTGATGAAGAATGGGATGGCCACGTAAAGAACAGTGAAATTAGCAAGATAATTAAAAAACAGAATTTATGTGTGTTGGGAAGGGAAAATGTGATGTTGTCATTCTCAGCTTCCAGGAGACTCTATGATCTTTGCTTAAGTCAGTCTTCCTTCCTTCCTCTGTTTGCTTGAATATTCCTCATGAGTTAGCCCATGGAGGCAAGATGGACTGTTTTTTAATTTTCCTTTTGTTTTTCCTTTGTGTTTGGTTGGCAGAGTGACCTGGTGCACTTGAGGGTCTCTTTTCCTAGCGTTCTGAAGCCATCCTGAACTTGATGGACTGGAGGTTCTAGGTGTTTCAGCAGCCCCAGACTTCACTGACATCCTGGTGAGCTGGAGGTTATGAAGAGAGAACACAGTTATTTGGAGGTAAAAATAGTTCTACTCTTAACCGTGCTTTCATTTCACCTGTAGCTTATCTTTTCTCTTTATCAAGCACAATCTCAGAATATCCCAGTCAATTTCTGACAGAGTGAATTCACCTTATTCCCTGTCACATTTCCCTGTTCCTCTGCTGAGGGGGAATAGCTGTGGCAGCAAATTACATGGTAGTAGCCTTCTATATTTTAGTCTCCTGGGGACACCTTCTCTGTGACTTGGTTTGATACCACAAGGCTGAAAAGAACTGCCCCAAATGGGAATGGAAACAGAAGCTGAGCTGGTTTCCCTCAGCTCAGAGAATGGGTGTTGTCAAAGAAAGAATAGCTGCTGACATGCAAGCAGAGACCTCAAAGCAGGGACTAACTGTTTGGCACAATGCATCCCTTGGCCAAATAATTTCTTTTCATCCCCTGTCATGACTGGTGATCTCCTCAAAGTAGGCTCTTGTTGCGGCTGTTCTTCACACAGCTTCCCAGCAGAACTTGGCTGACTTGGGTGGACTGCCTGGCTTTTGAAGGGGAATGCCTGGGGGAGGGGGAGGGGGAGGAGGAGTTGATGTCGGAAGTGAGACTTGTTAGCAGCTTTGAGGGCTGCTTTGAAGGAAGGGAGCAGTGTTCTGTCCTAGGATCCTTGACTTCTTTACTAAAAGCTGACCTTATTTATATAATGGCTTAAGTACAGATTGATTACCTTGAACTTAATAGAGAAGTGTTTTGGAAGAAGCCTGATAGAAGCTGCGTTTTAATCTCCTAATTTTGGAGCTGTTTTGAGTGATTACAAGTTCCAGTTATACTTCTGAGATTTTAGAAAAGTGATATTGAAAAGAACGTTATTCTAGAAAACCAGAGTTAATAGGAAAAAAATCAGGTGGGGGAATATATACATTTGTTATTCTTGGTGTGGAAGTTACATATCTACCAATATTTAGAATTTGTATGGAGGATTGGCAAATTGTAAAACAAATAGAGTTGGCTTCTCCTTTTTCATTTATGTAGGAATATACATCTCAGCAAAAAGATTGAGCAGATGCAATATAACAATTTGTTCCATTCGACTTTTCTTTTTCTGTGTAAAATTAAAGAAGATTCCTAAAGGTGCTGGAATGATTCTATCAAAAACTTAATTTCTGGGAATCTTGAATTTTAGTAATTTCTGATGGAGAGGTCATTGCTCTTTGTATAATTGTTGATAAGCTTAGCTTCAAATATCTCCTGTTCTGCTTGTTAGAGTGGCTTGTTACTCTTTCTCCTTCTTTTTCAGAATCTGAGGTTCTGCTGCCAACTCAGACTTTAGTAAGAACATTCATTGAGGTTACTGAGTTAGTGGCTTGGTGTGTAAAACAGTGTATTCTTTCTATTCTCTTGCCCAAAGAATATTTTGAATGTCTTGTGTTTGATAAATCTATGTAACTAAGCAATATATTTGGATTTTCTGTAGTATTGATCAATTTGCGGTAACCTATTCTCAAAGCTAGTTGGGTATTTTAGTCAGTTTCTTTAGAAAGTCTTGTGTTCTATCAGGGTAAAAATTAAGCCCCTTTGAATTTTGGAACTATCCTATGAAAAGTCTCTGTTTTCACACTTTTTGTGATAACAGTTGAGTATACAAGTTCATTAGCCAACTCTGTTTTTGTAGCAGTGGCTGAATCTAACTCACTAAATGTGAAGCAGAGCCCAGATTACTCAGATTGAAGTAGTTCATTTATTTATTTTTTAAAGTTGATTAATTTTTAGTTTTCAACATTCACTTTTTTGATTTTCAGTTTGAGATTTTGAGTTCTAAATTCCCCCCCCCCCACCCTCTATCCCCTTCCCAAGATGGCATGCAATCTGATATAGGCTATACATGTACAGTCATATTAAACATACTTCCACATTAGTGAAAGAAGAATCAGAACAAAAGGGGAAAACCACGAGAAAGGAAAACAAAAGAGAGAAAATAGTATGCTTTGATCTGCATTCAGACTCTGTAGTTCTTTCTCTGGATATGGATAGCATTTTCCATCTTGAGAAAGTAGTTCATTTAAATTGATGTGATTTCCTTCTGTAATTATGCATACTAATATAGAGCAAATTATATGAAGATTTATGGCTAAGTGACAGGTTTCTTTCTCCTCAGGATGCAACAGGAATTACCTCTACTGCTTCTGTTTGCTCTGTACTTCATTTTTAGGGTGTTGGTCTGAGATCTAAATGCAATACGTTGAAATTTCTTCTGCCACTGTTTTGAAATGTAGACAGATTAGAATCAATTTATGTTTTTTTATTTAACTAAAATAATTTATTTTAAAATTTAACATAAACCATCATGAAAAATTCCATTATTACAACTTTTTAAAAATGAACATGGTCTTCATTTTCTCAGTGATATTCATTATTCTGTTATATATTTTCCTTCAGTATGAAATTTTTTTGGGGTCTCGTTCTAACCATATTTTATTCTTCAGGCTTTACTTTGCATTTTATACATCTTACCATGTACTTCTGTACTTTTGGTCTATGAGCTATTGGCTTTCTAACATTATTTGGGTTTGTTGTTTAGTCATTTCAGTCATATCTGACCTTTTGTGATCCTGTTTGGAGTTTTCTTGCCAAAGATACTGGAGTGGTTTGCCATTTCCTTCTCTAGCTCATTGATGAAGAAACTGAGGCAAACAGGGTTAAGTGACTTGCCTAAGGTCATGCAGCTAGTAGGAGTCTGAGGTACTATTTAAACCCATGAGGATGAGTCTTCCTGATTCCATGACCAGTACTCTATCCACTGCATTGCCTAGTTGCCCAGCATTATTTGTGTGCCACTATAGGATTCAGGCTGTCTCATGATGTTCATACATGACTGAGCCACCTCTTTTTCTGAACTTAGATCTCCTGGATAATGTACTTTATGCTTCCTGGTCATTGTTGGTAATATGCCTGTTTTACTTACCATGTGGTGTTTCATTATTGCCCAACGGGTCACCTGATGTTTGGGTCTTTGGATGTTATAACGTTCCATGATTTATATCCATAACATTACCAGAAGAATATCGGTATCAAAATGATGAATTTTTGTTTTAGCAGTTTAAGATTGTTGAACTCTGTTGTGTCAAATGTCATGCAGTCTGCTCCTTTTCCCCCTGTTTTCTTCTTTCTATTCAATTCTGAGCCCAACCCTCTGTCTGCAGTGTCTTCGATATATGTGTATATATAGTGGTGGACCAACTTGATGGGTTGGCCATCCAACTGAAAATCAGTTGGACAATAGGCATTTTTCATCCACTTGATTGTTCCTTTGTGGATTGTTAGATCAAACTCTTTTGTGTTATTGTGGATATCATTTAAAAAAAGAAAGAAGGAAAGAAGAAAAGAAAGAAGGAAAGAAACAAGCATTTATTTAAGTGCCTGCTATGTGGCGGGCACTGTACTAAGGACTTTATAAATATCTCATTTGATCTTACAACAACATAGATACTAATTATTATGTTTTACATTTGAAGAAACTGAAGCAAACAGGTTAAATGACTTGCCCAAGATCACACAGCTAGTGTCTGAGGCTAGATTTGGACTCAGGTCTCCTGACTCCAGGCCTGGACTCTATCTACCTTGCCACCTTGATGTAATCAGCACTATGTCATCTACAAACTGGTGTGTCTGGAGGGCCTTCCCATATATAGGGAATTTATTTTCCATTTGGATTCTGTTCAATAAATATTGTCCAATTTAGTAGCAAATACCTTTCTGTTTTAGGCCTTGATATTAAGAGAGGAGCCCCTTCAAGAGTTATCTGAAGAGAAAAGCATTCTTCTATTAACAAAAGGCATGCAGAGGGAGGTATTTGCAACTAAACTGGACAGTATTTAGTGGACAGAGTCCAAATGGAAAATGTATACATTGGAGGTAGCTTGTTGGAGAGCTTTAAAAGTTGCATTTCTACTGAGTTAAATGCTTTTTTTTTTATAATTAACGAATACAATAAGATCTTATGTCCTTTGTATTTTTAGTCTGTGAAAATGTGGCCTGCTACATAGAGAATTTTTTGGAAACCTTGCCTGTTTCTTCTTGTTTACATCAAGATACTCTGGATATTTTTGTAGATCATACTCATAAGATTTTATAGAGAATAGAAAGTAGGCACATGGTTGAGTTGAGTTCTTCCCCGATTTTAAAATCAGCTTTTTTTGGTGTGTTTATGTGAGGGTATTAAAATCATTCTTGTTTGTCATTCTAGGATGTATTTTTTAAGGTCTGGGATCTGTTTTTATCCCCTTCAGTGCCTGGAACAGTGCTTTTCATCCAGTAGGCACTTGATAAATGTTTATTCAACTGAATTAAGTTGAAATTTTGATACTGTTCTTAGGGTATATTTCCCTGTGGTGTTTTTGAGGTTGATAAATTGAATATCAGGCAGTTCAATGATTATTAGTTTAGAGTGTTGCAGAAAAAAACAACATTAATACTAATATTTAATATTTAGGCTTAAGTCTGTCAGAAACCACTTAATATTAATACTCAAGGATTTCTAGCTTGGAGAGATGTCCATACTGGCATAGTTCCTCATGCCCTCCAACATAATTTTCTGCCTCAAGATGATGTCAGGTAATATTTATAGGATTCTTGTACCAGAAAAAGATCACAATATGTAAAAATGTAGTTTGAGTGAATATTCCAGAATATTTGAGTACCAATCCCATTGTTTCTTGGCCCACTCCTTCCTGAAATAAACCCAGGGACCTCTGGGACCATCTCCCTTTTAGGGATATCTCAGTCCATCTCCATGGAGGAGAGGCGACTGACCTCAGATGGGTACATAACCCAATGTTTCTGGTGTAGGGAAGGCAGTGATATAAACAAGACAAGATTTACGTTTTGTTAAAAGGTTAGGTTACCACCCTAGATGAGAGAAGGACTTTAGTTTTTGTACTACCCACTTCCTAAAGGGAATAGTCTAAAAGAGGTTTAGGCTGGAAAATAGTGTAAGTTTTGTAAAAGTGAGGTTTTTAATATGTTGCCACAGGAATTTTACAGATTTTGAGATTTTCCTAATCTGCCTTTCACAGTTTACCTTGGGTTTATTGCTATAGAAATATGACAGCAGGAGATTTTCTTATCTCAGGGTTATATGTAACTTTGCAAAAACTTGAAATAGTCTAAATGTGTAACAAAATAGGCAGTCGTTAAATTGGAGTAACTTAATGTAATGGTATGCTATAATTAAGATTGGCAAGTATGAGGAATACAGAGAAATCTGGAATAACTTTTATTAAGAAACTTTTTGGTCTAGAGCTCTGATTTCATTGATGTAGTGAACTCCCCGTGTGGAAATTCTTTCTACCGATGTAGATGAATAGCCGTTTTGTAGGTTATATTCTTAGAGAGATGCCTAGGACACTGAGAGATTGTTACTTACCCAGGGTTCATATTGTCCACTATGTGTCAGAGGTTGGACTTGAACACAGGTCTCTTGATTCCAGGGCCAGCCAGTGCTTTATCTACTAGGTTGAAGTGCCTCTTATAATGAAGTAATGCAAAGTAGGAAAACAAAAAGCCAGAACTGGAGAAATGGAGTTATACATTAAGATCATATGAGGAAATTAAGTGAGAATGAATGGACAAAGAATTCTGATGGTGAATTGGAGTAACTAAAATAGTATTATAATGTTTTATGCATTGAAATGAATTAAATTTAGTTTGTATTACCATTCAGTATTAAAGTTTTTAATAAAGCATTTTGAAAAAAATATAGTACTGTCAGGATGTTTTAATTTCAAAATCTCCCCTTATGAAGAGTCTTTTATTTTTAATCATGCTTTGACTTCTTTCAGTCCTTTTATGCTACTAACATGGTAGGTTTAAACCAGGAAAATTAAGGGCTTGAAAATTTGACTTAGGATCAGTGACACTTAAGAAACACGTTTTCTTGGGATTTTGGGACTGCTAATTTGTCATCTCCTGCTGGTTAAGGAACAGAAAATCTGTTTGCTTCTAGGGAGTGTTCGTTGTTTATTTGTATTCTTCATGAGGCTAGCAAGAGCGCAGATGTTAATGTTATGAATTGGTGGATACGGTATTTTATCATAGGCCAAGTATCTTGTAACACATGTTTTAACTACATGTTGGCATGCAAAAGAATGAGCAAGCAACTCAGAACATTATTATTCAGAATACATAAAAACACTTTTTCTGCGAATGTATTACCTTTTGTTAAGTAACTGTCATTGTTTTTCAAAGTCCCGATGTGTTGGCTTGATTTCCTACCTTTTTTTAAAATTGTGCCTTTTGCTTTTTGACAAGGAAAGGCATAGCTGTGTTATTTGATTTTCTGTTTTAACTGATTTGAGTCTTAATACTGAGATAACGTATAACAGTTCTTTCTGTGTGAGGTTTGAGGCAGCTTCCTTCCTCATCAACATATACTCTGGTTTGTTTTTCTTTTGTCAAGGCTTTATCATAAAGGAGGCTGTCGTTAACCAGTTTGCATCCGCATCTAGCTGACTTTCATAGGCATTCTTAACACTGATCTTTGGACGTGACAGTGAAAGAAGAAACATTTATTTGGGGGCTGAGGAGTCAAGATATTTCTAGATTGGAGTCATAGCAATCCTCTATAAATGATTTGGGATTCACCTGCTTTGTGACAGCAGTTTTCTATCCAATCAACACAATTTCTTGGATCCTCAACAGATGTTGGCTGTTGGAACACACTATATAAATATAAAGTGAATGAGCACAGTAAAATAGTGTTTGATAAAACCAAAGATCCCAGCTATTGGGGCAAGAATTTACTATTTGATGAAAACTGCTGGGAAAACTAGAAAGTAGTCTGGCAGAAATTAGGCATAGACCAACATTTCACCCTGATGACTGAGATAAGCTCAAAATGGGTACATCATTTAGACATAAAGGGTGATAGAAGCAAAGTAGGGGAACATGAAAGAAATTACCTGTCAGCTCTATGGATAGGGGAAAAATTTATAACCAAACAAGAGATAGGTTCTTGAGAGGTAAAATGAATAATTTTTATTACATAAAATTAAGTTTTGCATAAACAAAACTAATGTAGCCAAAATTAGAAGAAAATAAGGAAACTGGGAAAAAAAATTTTTATGAGTTTCTCTGATAAAAGTCTCATCTCTCAAGTATGTAGGGAATAAAGCCAAATATAGAAAAATAAAAGTCTAATTGATAATCACTCAGAGGATGTGAACAAACAGTTTTCAGAGGAAGATATCAAAGCTATCAATAGTCATATGAAAAAAATGTTCAAATTCAGTAATAATTAGTGAAATGTAAATTAAAACAACCCTGAGGTACATGACAAATATGAGGAATATGACAAATGCTGGAGGGGATGTGGGAAAATAGGTATTCCATCTAATTCACTATTGGTAGAACTGGGAACTAGTCTAACCATTCTGGACAGTAATTTGGAACTGTGCCCAAAAGGGTATATAAAACTGTGCATACCCTTTGACCAAGCAATACTGCTGCTAGATCCATACTCCAAGGAAGTCAGAGAAAAGGGAAAAGGACATATGTGTACAAAAATATTTATAGCAGCTGTTTTTGTGGCAACAAAGAATTGGAAATTGAGGGGATATCCATTAATTGGGAAGTGGCTGAAGAAGTTGTGTTATATGATTGTGATGGAATACTATTGTGTTAAAAGAAATGTTGAAGGGATTGGTTTCAGAAAAACCTAGGAAGACTTGTATGAGCTGATGCAAAGTGAAGTGAACAGAATTAGGAGAAAAATGTACATAGTAAGAGCAATATTGTTGATAATCAGCAATGAAGGACCTAGCTACTTGGATCATATAATAATCTGTCATCATTCCAAAGGATTTGTGATGGAAAATGTTGTCTATCTCCAGATAGAGAACTGATGGTCTCAGGGTGCAAATTGAAGCACTTTTTTTTTTTTTTTTTTTGCTTTCTTTATTTTTCTTGCTTGGGGGGGTGATGGTAGGTCATAGCTAATGTGGAAATGTTTTGCATGACTTCATATGTGTAATGAGTATCATTTCTTGCCTTCTCAATAAGTAAAGGAGGGGTAGATGGAGAGGAAATTTGGAACTGAAAATTTAAAAAAAATGTAATTAGGGAGGAAAACTACATGTGAAAGTAAAGAACAATTTAAAATTTAATTAAACTGTTCTAATTGGCACTAAAGAAAAATCTTGGCTGTTTTTGTTTTTCAACCAGCTATGTTCAATTGAAGATAAGGCCTAAAAGAGAGATCTGTTATTTTCTGCCAAACATATGATCAGTTTTCCTAGTAGTTTTTGTTAAATAAGGAGGGTCATGGTTTTAACAGTAGGTACTGAATGGATGACTAGCATCAACTTTAAAAGTTGATTATCAGAGTGGTGTTAAGAAATTCATAAGAGGCCAGCTAGGTATAGAAGTAGATAGAGCTCTGGCCTTGGAGTCAGGAGGACCTGAATTCAAATGCAACCTCAGACACTTGACATTTACTAGCTGTGTAATCCTGGGCAAGTCACTTGACCCCAATTGCTTCACCAAAAAAAAAAAAATATTCATAAGGTGGAATTGAAGCAACTCATTCTGCAGGTGAGAAAAGAAGTAGAGCTGTGATTCTCAAAAAAAAAAAAAAAGTATGAGGCAACAATGGGCCTGTATCATAAGACCTAGAAAGAAAGGTACCTTCTGGTATTGGGAGTTTGGTCTTAAAAATGAAATGGTTTTGGAAAAATTATAATGCTTGATGTCCAGTTTCAAGTAGCATGCTTTCCACATCAAGCCTGCTGTTCTCAGCATAGGGCTGATACAACCACATAGATAAATAGCTTAAAATGAGATTCTGGTTCTTGGCATGGGTGAGCTCTTCAACAATGATGCATTTGAAGAGTATTTCCTTCTTGTACATTTCTGAAAGCTTAAGGGAAACTTCATAGAAGTAGGTTGTGGGCCATGTATGGAAAAGGGGTGTTTGACAATTTCCATTTCCACTGTGGTAATTTTCTAGGTTACATATTTCTTTAGTGGTTGATGTTGACTTTTCCATTTTCGCCTGTAACTTAGCCAAGTTTTCCAAGGTTTTATGAAGTTCCTTGCATAACATCTCAAGTTTCTGAATGTATTTTGGATGTACCTTTTGAGAATGAAAGCCAGAAGCAATGCTGTTGCATTCTAGTTCTACCTTGTCTTCAGTAAGTGCAAGTGATTTTGATGTTTCCTATTTTGGTTGCAACAGAAAACCCTGTATTGTTGAGAGTCTCCCATTTTGATAATACATTATGCCAATCTGCAGCATTGTTCTTAATTTTTTTTTAAAGATTCATTCATTTATTTACTTTTAGTTTTCAGTATTCACTTCCACATGATTTTGACTTCCAAATTTTCTCCCCATCTTGTCCCTCCCCCACCCCAAGCTAGTATGCATTCTAAATACCCCTTCCCCTAATCTGCCCTCCCTTTTATCCCCCCCCACCCCTTGTCCCCTTCCTCTTCTATTTTCCTGTAGGGCAGGATAGATTTCTATACCCCATTGCCTGTAAATCTTATTTCCCAGTTGCATGTGAAAACAATTTTTTAACATTTGTTTTTAAAACTTTGAGTTCCAGATTTTCTCCCCTCTTCCCTCCCCACCCACCCTCATTGAGAAGGCAAGCAACTCAATACAGGTTATACTTGTGTAGTCATGCAAAACACTTCCATAGTACTCATGTTGTGGAAAACTAACTATATTTCCCTTCATCCTGTCCCGCCACCCATTTATTCTATTCTCTCTTTTGACCCTGTCCCTCCTCAGAAGTGTTTGCTTCTGATTACCACCTCACCTAATCTGCCCTCCCTTCTATCATACCCCAGCTTTTTTATCCCCTGCCCCCACCCCCAATTTTCCTGTAGAGTAAGATAACTTTCCATACCCAATTGAGTGTGTCTGCTATTCCCTCCTTAAACCAAATTTGATGAGAATAAGATTCACTCATTTCCTCTCACCTTCCCCCACTTCCCCTCCACTGTAAAAGCCTTTTCCTGTCTATTTTATGTGAGATAATTTACCCCATTCTACCTCTCCCTTTCTCCTTCTCCCAGTATAATCCTCTCCCACATCTTAATTTTATTCTCCAGATATCACCCATTCATCTTCAAGTCACCCTGTGTCCTCAGTCTATCTATGTATACATATATTTTTCCCCTTTGACTACTCTAATACAAAGGTCTCATAAGTTACAAATATCATCTTTCCATATAAGAGTGTAAACAGTTCAGCCTTAATAAGTCCCTTATGATTTCTCTTTCCTGTTTACCTCTTCATGCTTCTCTTGAGTTGTGTATTTGAAAGTCGAATTTTCTATTCAGCTCTGGCCTTTTCATCAGGAATGCTTGAAAGTCCTCTATTTCACTGAATGTCCATTTTTTCCCCTGAAGGATTATACTCAGTTTTGCTGGGTAGGTAATTCTTGACTGTAATCCTATCTCCTTTGCTCTCTGAAATATCATATTGCAAGCCCTCCAGTCCCTTAATGTAGAAGCTGCTAAATCTTGTGTTATCCTCTTTGTGTTTCCACAATACTTGAATTGTTTCTTTCTGGCTGCTTGCAATATTTCTCCTTGACCTGGGAACTTTGGAATTTGGCTACAATATTCCTAGGAGTTTTCCTTTGGGGATCTCTTTCAGGAGGCGATTGGTGGAGTCTTTCCATTTCTATTTTACCCTCGGGTTCTAGAATATCAGGGCAGTTTTCCTTGATAATTTCTTGAAAGATGATGTCTAGGCTCTTTTTTTGATCATGGCTGTCAGATAGTCCAATGATTTTTAAATTATCTCTCCTGGATCTGTTTTCCAGTCAGTTGTTTTTCCAATGAGATATTTCACATTGTCTTCTATTTTTTTCATTCTTTTGGTTTTGTTTTACGATGTCTTGATTTCTCATAAAGTCACTAGCTTCCAATTGCTCCATTCTAATTTTTAAGGAGTTCTTTTCTTTTCTTTTTTTTTTTTTTTGGTAAGACAATTGGGGTTAAGTGACTTGCCCAACGTCACACAGCTGGTATGTGTCAAGTGTTTGGTCTGAGGCCAAATTTGAACTCAGGTCCTGCTGTCTTCAGGGCCAGTGCTGTATTTACTGTGCCACCTAGCTGCCCCATGGAATCATTTTCTTCAGTGAGCTTTTGGACTTCATTTTCCATTTGGCCAATTCTGCTTTTGAAGGCGTTCTTCTCCTTGTTGGCTTTTTGGACCTCTTTTGCCATTTGGGTTAGTCTATTTTTTAAGGTGTTATTTTCTTCAGTATTTTTTTGTTTCTCCTTTTGGGTTGTCCTTAATTTTTCTTGCACTGACAGATAAGATGGTTCTTTTGGGAGTAACCATCCCAGAGTTCTTCACGTCTATGACTTTAGCACCCAAGATTCAGCCCGGCATGGACCAAAGGAAGTTCTCTTCATTTGATTTTAACTGACTTTTCAGTGGTCTAGAAGTCGCTTTCCTGTTTGCCTTGTGCTAGAGTAGGTTCTTGGGAGGCATATGAGCTCTAGTTATATCAGGTGTGCAGCAAATGCCACCTTGGACAGCCACTTCTATTTTTTTTTCTTTCTAAATGTTTTATTGAAGCTACTTTTAAAAATTGCAGTTACTACCTAGTGACTCTGCCCCTCACTTCTTAACTCCATTAGAAGAATATGCTTTGTTGTGATAAATAGATCAATGAACCAGTCAACAACTGTTTATTAAGTACTTATATGCCAGACACTGTGCTAAGTAGGCATTGGGCTTACAAAGAAAAGCAAAAACCAAAAATAGAGTTGAGCAAAACAAAACAACACATTGACTGTGTCAGAAAGTATGTACCTAATTGCCTACTTCTGTTAAATCTGAACTGCAGCTGGTGGAATGAGGACTGTGTACCGTATCCTTTTCATGTTTCTGATTTCTTTGGGGTCTTTTCTGCCCTTTATGACTCAGCTGGCAATAAGTCTAGAATTGCCCATAATTTCTAAACTTTGGTCTGTTTGAAACTCAGGTCTACAAAAATAATCTCATGACTATACTGAAGTATTAGCTTCTCTTTCTGGAGAATTCTTCTCAAAGCCATTTAATACCTATTTAATTTTGTTTCTAGTAACCTGGAATGGAGAATGAGGGAGACCTTTGGGCCCAGGCCACATGGTGATTATCCAGATCTGAAATGTATGCCTAATTTAGATTAGGTGTCTTTTTATATTTTTTTAACTATTTCTTGGTGTATATGGGTACAGAGGAAGTTTTGTTTATGTACAGGGAACATTTTTTTTTTTTTTTTTTTGGTGGGGCAGTTTGGGTTAAGCGACTGGTCACACAGATAGTAAGTGTCAAGTGTCTGGTCTGAGACCGGATTTGAGCTCAGGTCCTTCTGACTCCAGGGCTGGTGCTCTATCCACTGCGCCACCTAGCTGCCCCAGGGAACACCTTTTAATTCATTCCACTGTCAACATTCAAAAGCTGAGTGTCCTGATGACAGAAATTGGACCCTGGCTTCACAAACAGATATACTAATAACTGCCTTGTATTTATGCAAGATATTTCTGTGGGATAGTGGAAGCTTGGTTTAAAAAAAATTAATATATTTGTTCCATCTCCATTTGAAATTAAGAATGGGTTAATTTTTTTTGTCATAAAGCTATGGAATCTAAGGCTCAGTTAAGGAAAGAGGCTTGTTGTCCAGTCTTTCAGGAGGTAGTTCCTACTACCCCTAGGGTCCTTTTCTTCTGCTTCTGGGGAATCAGACTGTTAAGGTTACAAGTGTGGCTAGTTTTGTTTTTTCTTCTGAACTCAAGAGTAGCTGAAGGTGGTATGTGTTTTCTGTTCTAAGGAATATATAAGGCAAGGGTTCAGTTCTAACTTTTTTTAAATTTGTATCAGGTACCCTTTTGACAATCTTATGAAACCTGTGGTTCCCTTCTCAGAATGATGTTTTTAAATGCATAAAATAAAATACATAGAATTATAAAAATTCGACAATTATATTAAAATAAAGGTATAATTTTCCCTATCCAAGTTCATGAACCTTTTGAAATCTTAAGAACCACTGGTCTAGGAGAACCGTCTATTCTTTGGCACAAGACCTGATTGACCTGGGGCATACAGTGTATTTGTGCTAATTATCCAATTCTATGAAAATAGTTTTATTTTTAATTTTTTAAAATTATTTTGAATTATCAGCAATCATTTCCATAAGCTTTTCAGTTTTAATTTTTTCTCCCCCTCCCTCCCCAAGACAGCATGAAATCTGATATAGGCTATACATATATATTCCTATTAAACATATTTTCACATTAGTGATGTTGTAAGTAAGAATTAGAACCAATAAGAGGAACCACCAGAAAGAGGAAACAAAACACAACAGAAGAAAAAAATAGCAAATAGTATGCTTCGATCTGCATTCAAATTCCGTAGCTCGTTCTTCTTTGTGGATAGCATTTTCCATCATGAGGCCTTTGGAGATATCTTAGATTCTTATATTGTGAGAAGGGTGGAAATAGTTTTAGCTAGTGCAGTTACCATAAAATTCTTAGCCAGAAACTTTATAGTTTCATTTGATTATTAATTGATCATTGATTTTGCCTTCAAGCATACTTTGAGACTTCTTGATTAGTTGCAGCTGATAATACTAGTAAGTACCTTTGAAAACCCCATTGTGCGGTTACAGGGTCATCTGGCTTGCAGTTTTCTCTTTGCTTAAACTTTAGAGGTGATGCTCTGGGGCCAGTCAGTGGACCTTGCTGGATGGTATTCAGAAATGATTTAATTTTCAAATTGCATTTTCAATAGTTACTCCTAGTCTTGCCCTGCTTGAGACCACCCTTTCGAGCTGTGGTTTGTGTGTGTGTGTGTGTGTGGTTTATCTAATTGATAAAAGTGGACCTCTTATTGATCTATAATCATTTTAAATGAGAGTACTTGGCTTTTAGGCTACCCTCTGTAGTCTGATATATACCATCTAAAGTGACTACTTTGAAGGAGGATCCTGGTAATGAGATGCCTCAGCTACTTCTAGCACATTCATTTACCTCAAGGTTTTTCTGTGGAAGAAAAAAGATGGAAGTGGCAGAATGATTTCTTAAGCATTCTTATACTACAATTTTGTGTTTATTAAAGGAGAAATATATATATAAATTCTATGTAATATTTTTCTTCCTTCTGCTTCTTTGTTTCTTTCAGTGAGCCAAAAACACCTAGTAAGCACCTTCTATGTTCTAGACACTGGGGTGACAAGTACAAAAAATTAAACTTCCCTCTTTAAAAAGAGCTCACATTCTAATGGGAAAGACAAGTATATAAATAAGTATATGCACCATAATTGTAAAGTGCTTCTTCATGTGTTTTCTCTAGGACTTTGAATTGGTTTTTAGTTATTTAGAGCTCAACTTTCTTTTGTTGTTATTGTCTTGTATATTCTTTTGGTTCTGTTCATTTTGCTCTTCATTGATTCTTAGCAATCTTTCTACATTTCTCTGATTTCCTAATTTACAGCACAGTAATATCTCATATTTATATACTATAGTTTTTTCATGTGTTCACCCATTGATGGGCACCCTCTTTGTTTCTGTTTTTGCCTTCTGATGTCTATGTTTTGTGTGGTAGGATCACTGGGTCGAAGGTCAAAGGGACAGTTTAGGCACTTTTCTCAAATAATTCCAAATCAGTATCCAGAATGGTTGGACCAAATTAGAGTTACACCAATGGTGTATTAGTGTTCCTGTCTTCCAGCTGCTCCTCTGGCATTGACTATTCTCATTTTTGTTATCTTTGCTTAATAAATGAAACCTCAGAAATGTTTTTGTTATCATCTTACTTATGCTATTAGTGTTGTGGAGCATGTTTTCATATAGTCATTTAAAATTTACATTTCTTTTGAAAACTTCACATAATATCCTTTGATCACTTATATTTTAGAGAATGACTCTTGGTGTTATTTGTGTATATATGTGTGACTTAGATAACAGATATATATTTCTTAGATACTACACTTTTTATCGATGATATTTAATGCAAACATTTTTTCAGCTCTAGTTTGTTATATTAAATTTTCATTGGTTTATGTAAAAACTTTTAAATTTTGTGTTGTCATAATTGTCTGTTTTATCTTTTATGAACTGCATACCTTGTTTGGTTAAGAATCACCACATGTTCATAATATTGTTTCCATGATGCAAAATGCCTTTTACTACAAAAAAGTTTGTTTTCTTTCATCAAGTAGTTTTAGAGCTTGAATTAAACCCACCTCACCTATGAAACAGAGATTTGTCCACCAAAGTTCTGTGATTAGGTTATATTGTAGGAAGGATTTCCTGTGAGCATCAAATATAACATCAGGTAAAGTACATGACATCAAGGCCCTATTTCTTTCTTTAAAAAATTTTTTTAAATTAATTTTTTGTTTTTAACATCACTTTTTTTTAATATGGCCCTTCCATTCTTTCCCTACCCAGAAAGCTAGGCCCAGTTTAAAAGACTCCTAACATAGTTATGTATTATCATAAAAGCATGATACTTTTCATAAAACTGGTAATATGAATAGTTATTCCATCTTTTCCCCTTAGGATCCTAGGTAAATTACTTTAATGGAAATTGGACCCCTGTTTGACAAACTCTGAAATCATATTCTGCCTTAGCACAGTTGAAGGGGTGTTTTGGATATGTTATCTATAAATTCTTCCACCTAGATATAGAAACTTGTTTGGTCCTTTGCACTGATTAGTGTTTTGGTCTTCTGAAATGGTCTGTGGACACTCCTAAGTAGCTGCTGCCTTATTATGGGCTCATTTCCCACACTGGGATCCTTTGAACCGGGATTGGCTATCATGTCACTATGACTAATGCTAAGCTTCAACCTCCTAGTGTAGTAGCTTTTTAGTAGTAGAAAGAAATATTGTAAAGAGGACAAGTCAAATGACCTTAAGGTTGGATATCTGACTCTTTTAACTTAAGTGTGATGGGGCTTCCTTTGCCTTGTTGGGGGTCTTTATCTTGTATCAGCCTTGAAAGGATTTCAGGTGAATTCAGCTATTATTTATAGAATACTCATGTGTATAGTGCTGTGTTTTCCCTTGTCACTCTATTCCTCTTGAGGTATTTGTAAGCTTTTTTGTATTATAGACTTTAGTAGCTTGGTGAAGTCTATGTACCCTTTCCCAGATTAATGTTTTTAAGTGCATAAAATAAAATACTTAGGACTTCATAGAACTCCAATTATGTTGATATACATTTAAAAAACCAAGTTGTAGACCTCACTTTAAGAATACCTACTCTAGGGCAGCTAGGCGCAGTGGATAAAGTCCCGGCCTTGGAGTCAGGAGGACCTGCTTTCAAATCTGGCCTCAGACACTTGACACTTACTAGCTGTGTGACCCTGATTGCCTCACCAAAAAGCAAAACAAAAAAACAAACAAAAAAGTACCTTCTGTAAAGCCTCTTCCCTCTGTCTTCTCTGTCTGAACTTTCCTCTGCTTTTTTCTTAGAAGTGGTTGATGTTTCTGGTGCTGCTATTGCATGATATGTTGGATTGTTAGTTGGTCTTGGAGGTAAGAAAGCTCATTTTGAATCTTACGTCTGACACTGAGTTGTACAACGAGGAACAAGTTACTTAGCCTTAGTTTCTTCTGTAAAATGGAAACAGTGATGGCATTCACATTAAAATTGTGTTAATCAGAGAGCATTTATTAAATACCTACTCTATGACAAGTACTTTGCTAGGCATTGGGGATACACAGTCAAAAATTAAATAGTCCTTGCCCTTGAGACAGTTACATTTCTTTGAGAGGAAAAAACCCATAAGTAGACAGAAAATATACAAAGGTAAAATATGAATTAATTTCTTAGGAGAGACATTAACAGCTAGAGGGATTAAGAAAAGACTGGGGAGGTAAGGCTTGAACTGAACTTTGCAAAAACTTGGAAGCGGGAGTGCAAAGTAGGCATGAGAATGTTTCATGCAGAGGCCATCATAGGAGAACAACAAAACTGGGCAGGTTGTAGTAAGCCAGGTTGTGAAGGACTTTATTTTTTTTAATAGATTTTTATTGATAACTTGTTTTTTTATTTCATTTTTACATTGTACCTTATAATGTAATATTATATTAAATTCCATCTGTAGTCCTCCCTCACCTTGAAATATATCCCTTATAAA